CAAACCATTGCTGAGAGATTGAATTGAAGTTGTGAAGAAGTGTTGGACCCGGAAAGGTAGGGAGCCGATTTGGATAGTGGCCGCAAAGGGGCCAACAACAAGTCGACGCCGGCAAAACTTTTTGGCTGGAAAAGAGTTGGTCATGGCTCATTAAATTGATTGAGGATTGGTTTGTTGCTTGAGCTCTATGCCCCAAGCAAGGAACATCATGGGCGGATGTGGGTCTTCAAACCTTTTGCTTGAAGCAGGCATAATGGGTCTGAACATTGTGACACACCTATCCATCTGAACGATTTCGATTGCAAGCCCTCTCTACGACGCCGCCATAATTTGCAGGGATTTGCCGGGATCCATCCGCAGTGTAGTTTCACCACCTCTGTAGCTTTGAAATCACCCGAGCTAGAGGAAAAGCGGTCTGAACGCTTGCTGCGCAATCACGTCACCTTCCTAAAAAGAGGCCATTTGCTTGTCTGCTCTTGGAATCCAAGCAGCGAACTACTTTCCAAACCGCCGTTTGCTGCCTCACGCCATGTACACGTCGTGTGCGAGCTGCAAAGCTCCGCGTAGCTACCGGCGGGGGCGGGTGTGACGAAATAAACGAGCATCGGGTCGTCTGCGATTGCGGTTCATGGTGAAGTCGGAATTTCGGGACACGCACGGAGAAGGACAACCCTAAATCGTGGGAGACTTGGGGTCCTGGGGTCCTGGGCTTGTGGGGGTGGTGCGTGATTCCGAAAGATCGGTTCCGCCGCAACGAACGGGGCAATCAAACGAGTCACAAGAAAGGATCCATCCGTGCGTAGGCAGTAAAGGGACCAGACTGCCCAGCTCCTTCTGGAACGGAATGAACGAATTTGCAATGGATCTATACAATTCAGGAATCTGAATAATTGGACGCTTTCCCAAGAAGCCATCAAAAGGCCTGGCATGTTTTTGGCCTCAGCCGTTGGATCTCTATTTGTGCATAATCCTCAAAGGCGCAATGCCCCATATGTATCCAAGCGGTCTGGCAATCACCCATGTTCCCACAGCAAACAAAATAGCGCACTGCTTCTTTTTGAAAAACGCCCTTTCACTAATTCGTGTTGACCAATGATTGGCACAAACCTTGTTGAGAATTTGGGTGGTATCGCATTTTGGAGGAACCTCTCACTTTGGGCGTGTTCACTCAAAACATTGCTGCACACCTGTAGGTTTCCAAAAACAAGAGAACCACAAAATTGTGTAGACCCGCGCTCCACTTGGCTTGGCTGGCAGCATGCGGCTGGCTGTGTAATCGCAGGGCCCCTGTGGAAATCGGGAGTTCCCCAAGGCAGGCCCCCTTTTTGCTTTTTTTGCTTTTGTGGACGGCCGCTGCCTTGGCGACGCTGTGCCTTCAGGGACGGGCTCGAACAACGGCCAGCCGCGTTGTGCTCAGCGAGGTACTGGCAAACAAGCCCCTTCTTGAGGCTCGCTAGACTTGCACGAATTGCGCAAAGGCGCAGCTGGTTCCCAAGAGGTTCGTGCATGAGTCAGTGCGTAATGAGTCAGTTCGGTATGTTAGGGAGCACTTAAAGCAAGTGAAACAAGTCAGGTAAGTGCGGCAAGAAAAGAAGCGCAAGTCAGGCAAGTAAGCAAGTATAGTAAAGTGAGCAACGCAAGCAAGCGAAGCAAGGGAAACACGCAGGCAGGCAGGCAGGCAGGCAGGCAGGCAGGCAGGCAGGCAGGCAGGCAAGCAAGCAAGCAAGCAAGCAAGCAAGCAAGCAAGCAAGCAAGCAAGCAAGCAAGCAAGCACGAAAACAAGACAGCAAGCGAGCAGGCACAAGCAGGCCAAGAAAAGCCACGCAACGCAAGCCGAGCAAACCAAGCAAAGCGAACAAGCCAAGCAAAGCAATCCAAGCAAAGCCAGCCAAGCGAAGCAAGCAAAACAAACCAAGCGAAGCAAACGGAGCAAAACAAGCAGGGCAAAACAAGCCAGTTCGATATTTTGAGAAGCTACGTTAGCAAGAGTGTAAATGCAAATCTACTGTATGTGTGCATGTGATGGTGTGTAAGTGTGTGTGCGTGTGTGTGTGTGTGTGTCAGCATGAATGTAAACATGTTTCGTAGGTGTAAGTGTTGGCGTGCGCGCGCGTGCGTCTTTATGTGGGCGTGCACACCCACACACACACACAACACACACGCACACATCCGTATGACCTGTGTTTGTGCCTGAGTGTGATTGTGCGCGTCACATTAATCGTAACGGACGCCGGCAAACAAACCATCCCTTTGAAGTTCAGAAGGGCCCGACAGCGGGCTGCGGATGTTTCTCTCAACAAGACATCAATCGAAGCGTTACATCAAAAAGGTTGTCCCCAAAAAGGCGACCAACCCAGAAAATCCTGTTGGCTGAAGTTAAGGGAGACCAGCGCGCCCATCAGACCCCTGGCGGATCGCCATAAAATCCACTCACTTGTGAAGCCACAGGTCCCCGTCGCTCCAAGAGATTGATGCCTGCTTGGCGAAACGGAAGAAAGAGACAACACAAAGAAATAAAGCACAACAGAAGGACAGAAAGAAACAACAAGCCAACAAGACAACAAGACAACAAGGAAACAAGGAATCGAGAGAGAGAGAGAGAGAGCAAGCAAGAGAAGAGAGAGAGAGAGAGAGAGACAGAGAAAGAGAGAGAGAGAGAGAGCAAGAGAAGAGAGAGAGAGAGAGAGAGAGAGAGAGAGAGGGAGAGAGACAGAGAGAGAGAGAAAGAGAGAGAGAGACAGAGAGAGAGAGAGAGAGAGAGAGAGATAGAGAGAGAGAGAGAGAGAGAGAGAGGGAGGGAGAGGGACAGAGCGCTCGCGCCTGCAAGCAGTACATATCCCCTTGAACCATCACCACGCCAAAGGAAGCTCAATCAAACATTGGCATCATTGGGCCAACAATTAATGTTCAAACCAGGACCGGGAAGAGGACGACCCTGGAATCTGGAAACTGGTGGACCATGACTTCTGACAATGTGGCAACATCGGTCGATTACATTTTGGCGGTAGTCAGACCCATCTTCCGTTGAAGGAAACATCCCAAGCCGAAACCAGAAGCCCCACCTTCACTTTGGCTTACTCCGCCATCCAGTTGAAAAGTGGACTTGTGGGCAACCAGCCAGATGGATCCCTCACTTCTAGGGGTCATAGGGGTCACTGGCCCTTAAATACTGTGGATGGACGAAGTCCTGCACCACCAAAGAAACCCTCAGCTTCCCATGGTTTCAGAGTGGTGCGAAATGGATTTCGTCCATCAGTATGGAACCCCGGAGCCAACTGCCTTTCGCCCGACCGACAACGCAGGGCTGACTGCCTGGGGCTGCAGCGTCACCTGTCCGAAGAAGACGGCGTCCTCAAGCGATGCGACGCCCAGCCTCCGAACCTCCGGATCTGACCCGTGCCGTTTGGTTTCAAGCAGGGGTCAACAAAAAAACAGGGATCCCTCGACACAACTCCCCCTAAACAACGAGACAAAAGGAACCCTTGTTGCATTTGGGGGACAGACTCTACTCCGCCGTAGGCAGCCACAACAAGTCATCTTGGAGGGTCTTTTCTGGAGCAGGGGACCTATCTACATGCCACGCCTTTGCCGTTGGTTGCTTGTTTGTAGGTTTCATTTGGTTGTCATCGTTTCCGAAGGTACGGGTTTCACATTCCCTGTCTCCCGACCAAATCCAACTGGGAGATAGAAGTGATTCCATTTTTCTCACCTTCTTGAAACTAGTCTGACAGTCTGTCCAGGGTTCCCCAAAAACGTCACACGGTTGGATGTGGTGAAGCAAGCAGAGTTCGGAGACTCTTTAGGGGAGCCCTTTCGGTCTCCCTGTTAAACACCAAGTACCAAGTTGCCGGTCTTCTGTTGAAGGCCACAACAAATCCTGCAAAACTCAGCCAAAACCCAAGAGGACATGAAGGCCAGGCCTGAGCCTTGTCCTCAACCCGTTCCTTGCACTCTTGGAAACTGTGTTCCCGCCTTTGGAAGGACCACCTTGCCCACATTTTGCCATGCTGGCCAATCTACCTGCTTGGGGCACAGGCTTGCTTGGGGTGACTTTGGGCTCCCCAGGGATCAGAAGGGCCGGGTTTGAACCGGGGCCAGAGGATTCTATGCATCACACACACACACACACACATGTGTGTGTGTGTGTGTGTGTCAAGAAAGCAGGACCCAAACTGGTTGGCTTCCTTTTGGGATCCCTTTCACACCAAGCTCAAAGGGTCCCTCAGGTGTACGACAGGCCAATAACCAGCAAACACAACACATACACCAAAGGACATCTTCAGGATCGCCTGGCTCAGCGCCGCAATCTACCGGGACACCCCTCCCACTGGTCCTGCACTTCCATGCAGACCTCATTGGGTGCTGACTCCACCAGCAGCGTAGGCTCCTTTGAACCGAAGGGACAAACAGGGAGAACATGACGCTTTCATATCAAATCAAATCTTCAGCTCAATGTCCTTCCCATTGGAGAAGATCCTTGACGGGGCCCACGTTCCATTGGCCAGGCTTCCCCCTGTGACCTTCTTTGGACCCTCCACCCCAAGCAACACAACCCTCTTTGAGGCACCGGTCCCCTTATCCTCCAAGACCGACCCCCAACCCGCCCCCCCAACTCCCCCCCCTCTAACCCCCACCCCCCAACCCCCTCTAACCCCCCTCTAACCCCCCCTCTAACCCCCCCTCTAACCCCCCCCTCTAACAGCCCCCCCTCTAACCCCCCCCCCCCCAACCCCCACCCCCCTCCCTGGTGGCGAAAAACAAAGTCTCCTGCCAGGCGCCCTCCCAGATGATCAGCGCCCCGGAGATCTCGCTCACCGGGCTGCCGTCCTCCCGGAACCACCGGCCCCGCAGCTGGCGCAGCAGCAAGGGCACCTCCTGGCTTTCGGCCCCCGACCCCTACGGGTCCCTGCGGGTCTAACGCCCAGAACCCCAGAACCCCCCCCCGGTGCCTTGGACACCTAAAGTCTATTTTGCAACCATACCCTAAAAGAAGGAGGGTGCAAAGTAGACCCTAAGTGCCCACCGTACCCCCCGCCCCTTTCCCAGGAAGACCGGCCAAAAATTCGCCGTCGCCTTGAGGCTCTGCCGGATCACCGGGGTAGCCTCCAGCCACGCGATGGCGCTGCTGTCCGAGTCCATGTCCCGAGTATCCCCAACCTGCAGGCAGCTGCCAGCCCTCACGGTGGCGCACTGGCACCCCATGGCGTGCTTGACAGCGCGGTGGCTTCGTGAACGGGTTCTCCTTGAAAACCCACTTGAAGCCTTTAGAAAGGAAGGGTCTCCGGGTTTGACCCCTCCGGTTGAGAACAGGAACACTCCAAAGACGTGCTTTCTGCACGTGGGTCCAACTCTACTTCCCTAGCGTCGCCAGAGTGAGCGACGGGTTGCTCCAAGACTGAAGCGCGTGCTGGAGGTAAGGGCGACAACCGAATAGGTGGATGTTGAACAGTTGTTTCCTTTGGTTCCTTCTTGAGATGGCTCACAAGCTTCAATCAAATATGCTATAATATGTTTTGTCGAACCAATGCGTAATCTAGTGGGGCACAAGTCGATGGATGTATGCGAGATGTCGGATTGCCAGCCGATTCGAAAGGAACTGTTCACCTTGAGCCGTCGCACCGCGCATGTCGGCTCCCTTTCCCAATCGCTGGAAAAATCTGTCCAGACGGACACTGTACCTTACAGCGTTGGTTTCCTTCCGAGGGGCTCGCAATTCTACGCATATCTAGCACTTGGCATGTGGAAACCTTTCACGAACCTCTTCCCCGCATGTCTGGTAGGGCCCTCCATTCAAGAGGCCATGGGGGCTGAGTGGGGTTGACTCTGCAAGCTTGGAGACGACATTCAACGGTTTTTATTGGGAGGTTTGCGACCTGATGCACCAAGCCTCTAAATCAAGCAGCCCAAGTTTGGGCTGCTGTTGACGGCCTCGTCGAGTTGCATTCCGATCCGGAGAAGGAAGTGTCCTTGTGTCAGAAACTCACTTGCAAAAAGCTGGAATAAAAAATGTTGAACAAGAAACCAAAGTCAAAAGGTCAGCTTTGGAGAAACCGAAGACCCCCTCACCCCACTTCGCACTTGCAGGTGCCCCGAAGCCTCCCAACGCCCTACGCCACTGAAGGGCCACTCCAAACCAATGGCGAATGTGAGCTCTCCGCCAGCGCCAGCGCTGTCTTTTTCATCGCATTGAGACCGCCTTTCCAGCTGGATCTTTGTGCTGCTTGCCACCGCCTTCCAACAATGTGGGCACGTCTTCTTTGTAACAGGAAACTAAGGGAGGATGGACCTGCTTTTGGGGGTCGCGTGAGGTTGATGCAACCTCTGCCTGTGCGGCTGCGGCTTGAAGCTGTTGGCGCCACGACCGAGTTGGACACGAGCAGCCAAGATCTCCACGCGAGCTGCGAATCAGTCCAAACAGATTCATTACCCCGGGTAGGGAAACTCTTCAAACCAAAGCGTGAACAAACTCAAAGTTCATATGATTTCAGTGTCAAATGTTAGCCTTGCCAGATTTGCGCAGAAAGCATGGAGGTGTCGGCTGTTGGTGGTGGTCGAAAACTTCAAACGGAGGATGTGGTGAAACTCGTCAGGGGCGCATTTGGTTTGGCGATTGAGGGGGCACGAAGGCGACTCACAAGGAGACACCGCCAAGCCAAAGCACCGTATTAATTTTGGGAGGTTTGGACCCCCCGCGCATCGAGCCTTGTGGATGGCGGGAATCCAAACTGACTTGGCCGGGGTACTTCTTGGAAGCAGAATGCAGCTGCACCTACATGTTCCTTTCAAACATCGCACCACCTCACTCTTGAAGGCCATAAAAGTTGAGCTTTTAACAATAGAACCTTGCACCAAAACGCAGAATCCTGCTTCCAGTGGGCATCCTGCCACCTCACATTGTTGCAATACCTCAGGCAAAGGAGGCTCCAGGCAAACGACGGCTTCGATGGGCACCCCGCATCTTCTCAAGAAAGGTCGCCCGATAAATTGAGATCGCTTGCCCAACCCCCGCCCCCCTCCCCCCCCCCCCAAAAAAAAAAAAGACCCCACAGCAATACTTGGGCTTTCAGTTTGCAAACCACCTTCAGGCTTTTGCTACATCAATACGAAAACCGGCTATCTCTACTGCCTCCACCCCACTATATAAACATTTAATCATATCCAACAAGGAAAACTGGAAAGGCCATCCACTGCTTGCTTTGGGCCCAGCTTGTCAACGCATTTGCTGCTTAGGAGCCTCACAGAATCGCTGATCCGCAGGAAGGAGCTCAAGCCACGACTGCCTGGGGAAAGGCAAGGAGGAAGAGGGGAAGACCGAAGACCACCCTAATCCCCACCACTTCTGGAGGGTCCCCCTGATTACACATCAGGTGGGGATCCCCCGACGCCCCACAAGACTCTTAAAGCCTTATCAGAAGCGCTCTCAATAAAAGCCCAGGGGAAAGCAGGTCCTAGTGTTTCTCGTCAAGCAACTCGGGATCTGTCCTCGTCTGCAGGAGCCAAGTTGTGAGCCTGGCACATGGCTCCATGCCACAAGCCTGCATGCGGGTGCAATGCGGTGCCTGGCCTGGCTGCACCTTGCCTCCTCCTCCTCGGCTTCCATCTTCTTCAGCTGCGCAGTCTTGATCAGTGCCCGGAACAGATTGTCCACCTCGATCTGCTGCATCTTGTTCATGGGGCCCCGATTCATCGCGCGATAGCGCTTCACCATCTCTTGCACCTTCTCCCTGGCGGCTTTCTCCTCCGCCAGGAACTCCTGCTGCAGCAGGGTCAGTGCTGGGGCCGGTGGGGCCAGCACCTCCTCCACCGCCGCTGGGGCCGGTGGGGCCAGCACCTCCTTCACCGCCGCTGGGGCTGGTGGGGCCAGCACCTCCTTCACCGCCGCTGGGGCTGGTGGGGCCAGCACCTCCTCGACCGCCGCTGGGGCCGGTGGGGCCTTCACCGCCGCTGGGGCTGGTGGGGCCAGCACCTCCTCCACACCCGCTGGTGCGTGGACCTCCTGTGCCAGCGGCGCTTTATGACTTGGGAGGTGACACATGCAAAGCATGTAGTACTCACCCTGACAGCGCGGGACGGGCATCAACATAGATATTTGGCACAAGCGACTTGAGCAACTTCTTAGGGGATGCCAGGGCGCGGAGGAAAGTTTTGGTTCTTTGAGAGTCGTTTCGGCCCCAGTTCTTCGTTCTAAGAGTTCAGTTCAGTTGGCTTGAGTGAACATGATTCGGCCAGGTTTTGTAACTACGACGAAAATGAGCGCAAACTACGACCAACATGATTCAGCAATTACGACCGAAATGAGCGCGGGCGGGCTGACAACGTCCAAAATGGCCCAAAACTGACTACGATCAAAATGACTCAGAAACCACGACCAGTATGAGTGGGCTACCCCTCCCGCACCTCCTTCGTCGCAGCTGCCGCTATGGGCGCGGGCGATCGCACGCTCGTCACCGGCACGAAGGCGCGCAGGATGCGGCGCAGGCCGGAGCAAATTTCTGCCATGGCGGACGGCATGCTTAATCAACTGCCCAAATAACTTGACTCTACGCCTGAGCTTGAAAGCTTCCGGCGCCATACTCTTCAAGCAGTCATCGTTTGCAGTTAGTGAACATATCAACACTTGTGCAAGCCAGCAAACAGCTCCCAGGCCCAGGTAACCAACGGTTTTCCCAGTGGTTTTAGATAGTTGTCCGGTTCCCCTGACAAGAACGGCAACTGAAAGTATTGGATGCGGTCCGGATTCAACTTGTGGGGGCCCGGAATCTTCCAAGTGCACTGCAGCGCCACTGAGAAATGACCCTTAAGACTCAAGACATGTATAAATGGTTCTAGAGGCGCAAGCACTGGATAGAAGCACGTGAGCTATCCTATCCAAGCATGGAGGGGTCGGCTGTTGCTGGGTGTTGGCAACATTTCTTGCTGTTCTCCCCCCCTCCCCCCCACACATATTTGTGCGATGGTGGTGTTAGGCTGAGGGTGCGTTAATGGCGGTGCTGCTAGCAGTGCAAACCCACCGCTCCCGAAATTTGAGGCGGTCAACTGTTGTGTTGGCCAAGGAGAAGTTGACAAGGATGTCGTGTGGTAAGGCCGAGACTGCACCTGGTGGATTTTTAAAACTCTTCGGGCCACAAACCAAGTTGAAGGCCGACTTGGAGCCCCAAAGAATACTAACCTTGGTCTGGCCTCAAGCCAGGAACTCGCTGGATTTTGTCCGTCTACTGGATGGTAGGCATTGCTGCAAGCCATCCGCCAGTTCCTTGTCCGGGTGTCGTTGACATGTGACCCACTTGTCCGCAAACGTTGTTAGGCTGAAAACAGAGCGAAAGAACCACGCAAAGGGCTTGCCTTGGAGCCAAGAAGGAGGTTCCTTCGCCAATTTGGCGCCCACCCCGCACTCCGCTGCGTTTTCCGTGGTCACACACTGCTCATTTCTGCATGCTCCTCCTGGAAAGGCACGGCTTACTATCCCGATGGCCGGGGGAAACAAGGAACTAGCTGCGCTTGCTCTTTCTAGCTTGGTTCATTTCAATTGGAAATCAACCGAGTCACACAAACCAGCACGAGGCCTCAAGCCCAAGAAGGATTACCACGAATACTCCAGAGGACACAAATCCTAAAATTTGCGTGTTGAAAAAAGGCGGTCTTTCGCTGGTGCCAATCGATTCCAGGCCCCAAAAAGTGAGTATCCAGTGGATTGTGAAGCAACCTTTCAGTGTTCTCGGTTTGTTCTGCAAGGAAAGCACCAAGAAACGAGTGATGGGAGAGGTGCAACTGATCTTGGCCACATGAGCATTGTGTCAAACACATGCTTTTAGAAAACCAACAGTAGCAGGGCTACCTAGTTTGCATATTTAACATACCCACACCCAATTTACTTGCAACACAAGGCACCACCGGCATGTGTCAAAACCGGGGAGCTCTTTGCGTGAGGGCTTAAACCGGTGACCGACATGCAACATGACACCTTGTTTGGAGAATGCCAGGGTCGCGGGCCCGTTTTGAAACGTATCCAGGATCCACATTCCTTTTAAGATCAGGCATGGTACTTCATGATTAGACTTAGGCCCAGTTATAGAATGTATATTATATTGTTTGCTTCCCTTGGAGTCACTGGTGAAATGTAAAATGTATCCTAAGTCTACAGTCTACCCCAGACTTGGGATAAAGCTGCCTAACGCGTCTACTGTCCTCCCCGGCCGCTTCTGCGACCTCGGCCTCTGTCAGCATGCCTCGACCCGCGGTTGAAACAGCAAGCCACAGGCTCATTGCTAGCAGGAATCACGTACGAACAACACAAAAGGTACTTGAAGTACAAATGGCCCGAATTGTCAGCCACTTGATTCAATTGAACTGAAATGGTGTCTCCACATTTAGGGCAAGTCATCCGTGCCTCACAAAGTTGCTCCCCCACAAATCCTGCCCAAAACGGTTCTCCGCTCTCGTACTGCACAGGGTTCGTCCCACACCCTGTTCAGTCTGGGAAACTCTCAGAAGCTTCTAGGGTCCGGACATCTGCAAAACAAACAATCACCAACCTGTTTTCCATGATCTAGGGAGGAACTGTCATCATTGGGTCGGCTAGATGTGCCCCCAGGCAAATTTGCTAATGTGTGCAAAATCAAATGCTTGCCAATCGCATTTGCCGTCACACCATTACTGGGGCTTCTAATCTGCATGAATCCCCCGCCTCAAAAGGTATTGTCGTTCGCCAGTTGCACGTGTTTCACGGATTCCCGTCTTTGCACGTAATTTTGTGTTTCACGATGGAATTGAAGCCCTTGCTTAATTGCAAAATTGACAAGGGGTCCCTCCCAACAGTAAATCTTGCATGATGAGGACATACGGAGGGCATGCGCATCAAGTACCAGCCTTTGCCAACAAAATCGCACTGCCAAATCCAGATGCAAAGGACCGCCTACGGATCACTCTTCCTATTGAATTAGATTCGCACGTCCGATTGTTGACCGTCAAAGACCGACTGTCAGAACCGCGATTTCCCCTTTTCGCACTTCCACGAAAAAAAAGGGAAAAAAACAACAACAAAAAAAAACGAAAAAACAAAAACAGAAGACCAAAAAACAACCAAAAAACACATGGAACTCGCCCAAACCTTGCCCAACAAGCTCTAAGGGAAAACGCGGGGAACCTCGTCCTAGATCGCTCGTTCATATCGGCTCGCCCCCCACCCTGCTCATCCCGCGCCTTCGCCTTGATCCTGGCCGGGCTCTCGCAAAAAAATCGGAGGTGCTTTCTGCGCCCTTTCAAAGCCAAGCCCTCCAGCCAACACTGGCATAACCTTCTGTTTTGAGAGTTCTTCGACTTAACTCTAGCGAGTCATTGGTTGAGCCAAGGGCTCGGTGGCTCAAACTACGAGCCTCCAGCTCCGCGCCCTGGGCGCGCTGGATGAACCTCGGACAAAGCTCCAGTGGATCCGGGCGAATCGAGAAGCCCTTGCCATTTGTGGCATGGGAGACACCCCTCACAAGGTTGGGGCCTAGGTTGGTTGGGCTGTGCTGGCTGGGCGGTTGCCGTCCCCAATCAACTGGTATTGGGAGGAATCGCGAAACAGGCCACCGCCGCGGTTCGCCGGGGGGAAACCAACAAACCCACAATCTGCCACATTAAGAGCAACACCCCCCACGCAACAGCATGCCAACATACCACTACACACCGACCAAAGAACACCAGCAAACCAAATGGATGCTTCCCCACGCAGCCGCGGAAGGTGGTGGGAGGATTTACAGGAGTTTGGGTGTTCCCGATCCCCCTTTTAGTGGACGGAGGTTGCAGAGACCTTTGGGACAACAGAAACCCAAACCCAGTTGCACCCCTGAAATGAAGCCATGGACGCTCCTGCAAAGAGAATGCTTGTTAGTTTCCATCGTCGACCCGAAAACTCGTTGTACACCCATATCTTCAAATACCCACCGAAACCAGCAGGGATTGGCCTTTTTTTCTGCGAGTTTCGCTGTTTCCTGCGCTTATCCATGAACACCTTTTCAACTTGCAACCCAGCTACCGATTTCTGCACACCTACTACGCACTATGGGTGACTTGCGGCTTGCTGCTTATGACAAATCATTTACTGCGTGCAAACATGCCTGATCGCTGCAACCCCTGATTGCTGCCGCGGTTATCATGCGCTTTGGTATGGTGAGCCATATCAAATGGCTAATTCCCGAAGCGGGAACTGATGCGCAATGCCATGCTGACATGCCCTGTGGGGAGCTGCTTGCGTTGCCCACGAGTGGCGTTGTACGTGCCCCTTTTCGACAAAGTCTGCGGGCCGGCTTTCCAGTGACCCCCAGCATTTCTTTCTCACCTTCCCGGGTTTCTTCTGCCAAGTCACATCATCAAACAGGCGGCGAAGGTATCTCGCTCCTCCACCTTTGTTTGAGATTCCATGGGGTCCTTTTCGGCTCCCCCTTTGGCGCTTGGAGCTGAATCTGTATTTGGGTCGTCAAGTTCAAACTGGAAGCCGGCGTGATACTTAGGGGGCCCGCCCTGCACAGGGCGCCTGTACTACAGAAGTTTCTGACAGGCTTGAAGCCAAAGACATGCGTGACACACTCTGGTAGCTCAGGTGAATGGCTGGTTATGGGGACAACTCCTGGCAACAGGGAGGAATCGACAGGACATGGGTCAGTCTGGGCGCGCCCGCATCCTCAAAGCGGAAGGTGATGGCATCCTGACGGGATGGGCCCGGCCTGACCCAAGCCCGAAACGCCAGTTGCTCCAGGTTTGTCCACTCCCACTACATAGCTTGGCTGGAATTAGGACCCCAGCAAAACATATTTGTTCTTCCCTGTTAGTGGAAAACAAATGGACCTCAAAAAAAAAAAAATCAAAAGGGGAGCTAATTCCGGGGAAGATAGCTTTGTCATTGTGGCGGGCTCAAGTCAAACTAGCATGTCATTTGGACTCGGTGTTGGGCAAAGTCCATTTGAGGGTTCGTAGTTGTTGTAAGCGTCCGTGTGTTTAGTTGTCGCGCTTCTGTGCGGAATCCAAGCTTCTGAGGCGAAATCTGTTATCAATCTGCTTACTTTGCTCGGTGTGTGTTAGTGCAGAGTCCATGCATCTTCCAAGGGCTAGCTTTCACAGCGCTGTGCAGGGGTAAATGCATTCTCTTTGCCTACTGGCTTGTTTCTGAGTTCTCTTGGTTTGGTATGATTTCTGCACAGGTTTCCGGCTGCTCCAATATGGACTTTGACGAAATGGACCCTTCAGGCCGGCGTCTTTACCAAGACGTAGATTCGGGCACTGCACAAATGTGTTTTTTTCCATGAGCTTACGTACTTCGAGCTAGCACGTCTTTGGAAACTCATGGTGTTGGAATCAAGTTGAAGCTCATACCATACTAATGTTGCAGGTTTGCTCTGAGGAGTTTTGTCGGCGGGCACGCGCTAGTGCTTACAATTCAATCGCATCTGTCTGGAAATCCACTTGCTGTTGCCTTTCCAACAACTCCAACCATTCTTACGTAGGTTCAAGTGAGCAATAAAACAGCAGCTTGGCTATCCGGGCGGGTGAATCATGGTAATGCATTAAGTGGACACTATACGTCGACTGAGCGGCAAAAGGGAATCCTTCCTGTTTGAACACGAGCTCCTAACAATGCGAAGGCGACCTGGCTTGGACCAAATGTGTTTGCACTTGCAACGAACCCAGAGCCGTCAAGATGCATCCATCATCAAATATTCTTACAACATTCCCACATTGAAAAGCATAAGGCGTTGGCCAGGCCAGCCTGCAAGCGACTCGAGCGTGTGGCGCTTGCGCCTGTGACGCCAGTATCAGTGTGACGCAAAGCTCGTCGAGGGGCGTGTCCACCCGCTTCAAGCCGGTCCTGGCCGCGAGCGGCTTGCAGTTGGCACTTTGCCTGTGGGATTGAACATGGCGTTGCTTGCTTGCTTGCTTGCTGGCTTGCTTTCTTGCTTGCTTGCTTGCTTGCTTGCTTCCTTCCTTGCTTGCTTGCTTGCTTGCTTGTTTGCTTCCTTGCTTGCTTCCTTGCTTGCTTCCTTGCTTGCTTGATTGCTTGCTTGCTTGCTTGCTTGCTTCCTTGCTTGCTTGCTTGCTTGCTTCCTTGCTTGCTTGCTTGCTTGCTTCTTGCTTGCTTGCTTGCTTGCTTGCTTGCTTGCTTCCTTGCTTGCTTGCTTGCTTGCTTCCTTGCTTGCTTCCTTCCTTGCTTCCTTGCTTGCTTCCTTGCTTGCTTGCTTGCTTGCTTCCTTGCTTGCTTGATTGCTTGCTTGCTTGCTTGCTTCTTGCTTGCTTGCTTGCTTGCTTGCTTCCTTCCTTCCTTGCTTCCTTGCTTGCTTGCTTGCTTGCTTGCTTCCTTGCTTGCGTCCTTGCTTGCTTTCTTGCTTGCTGGCTTGCTTGCTTCCTTGCTTGCTTTCTTGCTTGCTTGCTTGCTTGCTTGCTTGCTTGCTTGCTTGCTTCCTTGCTTGCTTGCTTGCTTGCTTGCTTGCTTCCTTGCTTGCTTGCTTGCTTGCTTCTTGCTTGCTTGCTTGCTTGCTTGCTTGCTTGCTTGCTTCCTTGCTTGCTTCCTTCCTTGCTTCCTTGCTTGCTTCCTTGCTTGCTTGCTTGCTTGCTTCCTTGCTTGCTTCCTTGCTTGCTTGCTTGCTTCCTTGCTTGCTTGGTTGCTTGCTTGCTTGCTTGCTTGCTTGCTTGTTTCTTGCTTGCTTGCTTCCTTCCTTCCTTCCTTGCTTGCTTGCTTGCTTGCTTGCTTGCTTGCTTCCTTCCTTGCTTGCTTGCTTGCTTGCTTCCTTGCTTGCTTGCTTGCTTGCTTGCTTCTTGCTTGCTTGCTTGCTTGCTTGCTTGCTTGCTTGCTTGCTTGCTTGCTTCCTTCCTTGCTTGCTTGCTTGCTTGCTTCCTTGCTTGCTTGCTTGCTTGCTTCTTGCTTGCTTGCTTGCTTGCTTCCTTGCTTGCTTGCTTGCTTCCTTGCTTGCTTCCTTCCTTGCTTCCTTGCTTGCTTCCTTGCTTGCTTGCTTGCTTGCTTCCTTGCTTGCTTGCTTGCTTGCTTGCTTCCTTGCTTGCTTGATTGCTTGCTTGCTTGCTTGCTTGCTTGCTTGTTTCTTGCTTGCTTGCTTCCTTCCTTCCTTTCTTGCTTGTTTCTTGCTTGCTTGCTTGCTTGCTTGCTTCCTTGCTTGCTTGCTTCCTTGCTTGCTTCCTTCCTTGCTTCCTTGCTTGCTTCCTTGCTTGCTTGCTTGCTTGCTTCCTTGCTTGCTTCCTTGCTTGCTTGCTTGCTTGCTTCCTTGCTTGCTTGCTTGCTTGCTTGCTTACTTTGCTCCTTTAAGGTGTGTTTGGCTGGCTGGTGGTTTTTGTTTGGTTTCCCTACGGTCACATTGCTCACCATTCCCCACAGGATCGCCAGTCCCTGCATGGATCTCGGCAACGTCCACGAGCCTTGGGAGCGGGGCATTGTAAGGGTCGCATGTTTGGGTTGAAAGCGGGCTGACGATTTGAGGATTTTGGAGGGTCCGCGATTTTGGAGGGTCCTCGCTTGAACCCTAAATGAATTGGGGCCAACAGCTGGTCCCAACATTTCTGGACGATCAACCACACTGCAAGCCTGGCGAGGTGAATTTTGCGCGGACTCAAACCCGTCGAAAGAGTCAAAAGGGCCACTCTCGGGTCTTCCAGGATGCTCCTCTCTCTCTCTCTCTCTCTCTCTCTCTCTCTCTCTCTCTCTCTCTCTCTCTCTCTCTCTCTCTCTCTCTCTCTCTCTTGGGTCCCGGCGCGATGGTCCGGGAGTGGCCCGCCAGCTTCACTTTCAAAGCGTCCAGGCTGCCTGGGACGCCCGGCTTGACCAAAGAATGTCTGGGTCTGGGGTCGTGTGGTCGTCCAACCCCCTGTTTGAATTTCGATGACTTTCCTGCCAAACGAACAAACCAAAGGGTACATCGGAGGCTCAAAGCCATTTCAGCAGGATGCAACATTGTACTTAGATTTGGCGCTCTGTGTTGCCGGGCCCGTTGCAATTCGAGGATGCCATATTCTGGAAACGGACATATTTCAACAGGAGAAGTCACCGCGACATGTATACAGGTTACAAACCCAAACTGCTTCGCAAAGCACACCATAACAAGAGCTGATGAAGGCTGATAGTGATTGGGCGGCATGACGATATGTATACTCGTCATTCGTGAGACATCTTGTTCTTGTTGGCCTGGCTATTGGTGTAACTTGCCCTGCTTCTTTCCAGAATCGATGCGCAGGGATGCGGCAAGAAAGGACCATGCAGGTTGATCTCAGCTTCTAAACATGCCCTTGACAAACAACCTTATCGCCCGGTCTGATCTCGACCTAGGATGAATGTCCCAAACCCGGGGGTTCGTTTCGATGGTTTTTCCTTCAGCAAGCGTCCTGCCAAACGCGACCGGCCATGCCCCAATGCCTTGACAGCACGATATCGCGCAGCTGGCAACTCTTTTGGTTGCGTGAGTTCAAAAGAGGGTGCATGTCTGTGTCTTGGTTCTTTCACCCTCCCACCTTTTGTCCAGTTCCAGGAATGACCTCCCCATGCGGGTGTCGCCAATTTGAAGGGTACCTGGCAATTACTTCGGGCTTTTGCAGGGAAACACAAAACACCACCCACCCACCTTTCAGGGGTTTCCCGCATTTTGAAGCCTCCCCTACCGACACAGGACTCCCAGACCAGTCTGGATCCCGTCAGTCCCTGAGCCCCCGCACGGCTCACGGAGCAGGCACACGCCTTCCGCTTGCCCGTCCTCGAATGGATCTCTCTGGGATCTAGGGCAGGACATGGATAGGACAGCGATCTGTTGAAGGCATCCCCTCTTGGTTGGCTTCAAAGACGAAGAACCAAACATCGGCCATGTTTTGGGTATCCTAATTTTGCGACGAACCCTTTTGTGGTATCGCATCTGAGAGATCAACCACTGTGACAGGATAAGTCCGAAAAACACGAAGCCATGAAATGCGCGCGCCCGTGCCCAAATGCGGCAAAGTGCGGCAAGTCTGTGAGATTGACAAGCACCACGAGAATGAACAAGGAGCTAACAATACGAGCCACGCACGATAACCGCACTGTGAAAGACTCGAACGCAAGCTGCAGCCCTTATGCCTTTCTCTGAGATTCGATTTTTCCGCAAAGGCTTGTATATTAGGGGCTGGTAATAAGAGCTTCAGCTGCGGCCAAGCCTACGTGTTGCGAAGCGCCAAGGGACTCTCGTGGAAGGACCCTTCATGGTACTGAAACTTTGGACCACCCCCTCGACCAAGCATCTGAGCCCACTAGCCAACCAAAAACCTGACTGATGACTGAGCTAAATCAAAACCAAACCCTGGCATATCGATACCTTTTTCCTTTTTTTTGCGGGGGGGCGGGGAGGGGGCGGGCCTCATCCACAACGGTTGACCATGCTCGCCACTTTTCGGGAAATCCGTTGGCGCTTTGCCGGGGCTCCCAGCTTGAGCACAGCTTCCAGCTTCCGTCCCCGCACCATCTCCTTCACCTCCACGCGAGGCGAAGAATATAAGCGCGCGCAATGTCACCAAAACGGGCGCCGCTTGAAAAGCCTGGGCTCCGTGCAAAGACCTTCACCATCTTCTTGGCCTGCTTCTTCTGCCTCAGAGCCTGCCGAGCTTTCCGCAACAGAAGCCCAGCTAGTCCAGCCGAAAGTCATTGGCAGCAGGGCGTGAATTTTGGATCTTAGAACCCCTGCACTTTCGCAGAACGCCCACTTTCCTCCCACTTTCCGGGGATCCAAAGATGGCAACTTGCAAACCTTTCGGGTAGCGCCCTTTGGGACTGGGGAGATGACAAGTCCTTACAACCACCTCGATATCCATTTTGTTTTATCTGAAAGCAACGACACCTTTCCAGGGGTGGATCAACACAAGGGGCACCCAAAACATCCCAATTCCATATGGAAGAGCACGTCCTATGACTTAAAACTTAAGATCAGTGGGGGACCTCGGAAACTGCTTGCTCTTCTTTTGGTTCTTCCAAAAAAGACCCCAAACGCAGCCCAAGTTAGGACACACCCGGGGTCACCCAACACAGCCCAAGTTGGAACACACCCAATACTTGCAAAACAAGGCAGGCCCCAACTGGTTGAACCACCGCGACACCCGATCCTCGTCCTCTGGACTGAGCGTTTCGGTGCCTGGGGGCGCTCGATGCACGAGGAACGAGCTGGCGATTTCGTCTCTCCTTTTGCGGTTGAAAATTAGGACGACTCCCAAACGAGCCGTAGACTGACCTTCAATTTGCCCGTTGCCTTGTTTGTTCACTCTACTTTGTAGATAACAGCATTAGTGCGCCTCAGCGACCCAAACTGAGGAACCCCAACACAATCAGCTTCATGACCCTCTCAATACTCGTTGCGGAGCTGTAGATCTACACGGGTCAAGTTTGACCACCAAAGGTCTGTACCAAGGTAGGGGTCCGTCACACCGTCTATACGCAAAGCGCTCAGGCGCCCAACAAGCCGGGTCCCTAAAACAGGCACCAAATGTCGTTTGAAGAGCAACCCAAAGCGGGTTGATGTTTTTGGGTGCCGTGCCACTGTTAACTATGTCACATCTATTACTCTAAGGAGAACCTACATCCATACTTGCATGCTCCGGCCTTGCAGTGCTCTGCTTGCACAATGATTTCTTGCGGGAAAAGGGCTGGCCGCTTCTGGATTGGTCAGATTGGACCCTGACTGCACTCGGTTTGGGCCTTTGCTTCTTGACAACTTCTGAGCCTATGGTCCTTGGCGTGCCGGTCGGGTCGGGTACCCCGAGCCGACGACGGGTCAGCAACCCCGAGAAGGTCGAAATGAATACCCGCAAGTTTCCGGAAACATGTGTTCAGGAAGCTTAATAGTTGTTTTCCAGAAGCATGCTGGCTTCAGGAAACTAATTTTGCGTCTTAGCTATAAATTTCGTGAAAGGCTACTTCTGAAAGGGTTGTTGCCGAATTCGTGATACCAGCCAGTCTTTCCCGCAACCATTTCCTGACACCGCCAAACCTTTCCTGACACCACCGGCCAGTTTTTCATGAAACACCCCAGCCTTTCCTGATACCACACAACCCTTCCTAAAACCACCCAGCCTTTCCTGAAACCGCCACCCAGCCTGCAACCACACAGCCACACAGCCTTTCCTGAAACCCCGCCTATCCTGAAACCAAACAGCCTCGCCGGAAACCACACAGTCTTCCTGAAACCACCCGGCACCTCCTGAAACCTCAAAGCCTCTCCTGAAACCACCAACCAATCTTTCATGAACCCCCCCCCCCCCAACGTTGCCTGAAACCACGCAGCCTTTCCTAAAACAACCCAGTCTTCCTAAAACCACCCGGCACCTCCTGAAACCACCCGGCCTTTCCTGATTGGGCTTCCCGTACTTCCCAACATCATGGGGGGGGCCGCCGCCCCCCCGACCCCCCGCTGTGTTTTTAGATTAAGCGTACCTTTGTTTGAATCATCACCCTTCCCAACATCCCCTTCCCAACATCATGGGGGGGGGCTGCCGCCCCCCGAACCAAAACCTAACCCCAAATGAACCCCGAATGAACCCCCGAAGCTGGCCCTAAACCTGACCAAAACCAAACCTAAAACCAACCCTAAACCAAACCTAAACCAAACCTAAACCAAACCAAAAACATCCTAAAACCAAACCTAAATCAAACCTAAAACCACACCTAAATCAACCCTAAGAGAGCCTTAAACAAACCCTAAACCTCACCTAAATCAACCCTGAACCATCAGACTTCCAACATCATATGCGACACACACTTTCGTGAAACCCCACAGCCTTGCCGGAAACCACACGACACCTCCTGAAACCACGCAGCCTTTCCTGAAACCACGCAGCCTTTCCTGAAACCACGCAGATTTTCCTGGAAACACCCCAGACTTTCCTGACACCAACAAACCTCTCCTGAAACCACTTCTTGAAACAACCACCCAGCCTGAAGCCACACAGCCTCTCCCGAAACCACCTAGTCCACCCGGCACCTCCTTTCCTAAATTCATACACACTTCCGTGAAACCACACAGCCTCACTCAGCCTTTTCTGAAACCACCCAGCACCTCCTGAAACCACACAGCCTTTCCTGAAACCGTCCAGTCTTTCCTGAAAGCACAAATCACTCTTTCATGAACCGCCCCAGCCTTTCCTGCAGCCCAGACCTCTAAACCAACCCTAAACCAACCCTAAACCGACCTAAACCAACCCTAAACCCACCCTAAACCAACCCTAAACTAACCCTAAACCAACCCTAAACCGACCCTAAACCGACCCTAAACCAACCCTAAACCAACCCTAAACCAACCCTAAACCAACCCTAAACCAACCCTAAGCCGACCCTAAACCAATCCTAAACCAACCCAAACCAACCCTCAAACAACGCTAAAACGGACCCTAAACCGACCCTAAACCAACCCTAAACCAACCCTAAACCAACCCTAAACCGACCTAAACCAAACCTAAAACCACACCTAAATCAACCCAGAGGGAGCCTTAAACAAACCCTAAACCTCACCTAAATCAACCCTGAACCATCAGACTTCCAACATCATATGCGACACACACTTTCGTGAAACCCCACAGCCTCGCCGGAAACCACACGACACCTCCTGAAACCACGCAGCCTTTCCTGAAACCACGCAGCCTTTCCTGAAACCACGCAGCTTTTACCACCCCAGACTTTCCTGACACCACCAAACCTCTCCTGAAACCACTTCCTGAAACAACCACCCAGCCTGTAGCCACACAGCCTCTCCCGAAACCACCTAGTCTTTCCTGAAACCACCCGGCACCTCCTTTCCTAAATTCATACACACTTCCGTGAAACCACACAGCCTCACTCAGCCTTTTCTGAAACCACCCAGCACCTCCTGAAACCACACAGCCTTTCCTGAAACCGTCCAGTCTTTCCTGAAAGCACAAATCACTCTTTCATGAACCGCCCCAGCCTTTCCTGCAACCACAGACCTCTAAACCAACCCTAAAACGACCCCAAACAAACCCTAAACCAACCCTAGACAACCTAAACCGACCCTAAACCGACCCTAAACCAACCCTAAACCCACCCTAAACCAACCCTAAACCGACCCTAAACCAACCCTAAACCGACCCTAAACCGACCCTAAACCAAGCCTAAACCGACCCTAAACCAACCCTAAACCAACCGACCCTAAACCAACGCTAAACCAACCCTAAACCAACCCTAAACCAACCCTAAACCGACCCTAAACCGACCCTAAACCAACCCTAAACCGACCCTAAACCAACCCTAAACCAATCCAAGACCAACCCAAACCAACCCTCAAACAAACCTAAAACCACCCTAAACCGACCCTCAACCGAACGTAAACCAACCCTAAACCAACCCTAAACCAACAACCTCTAAAACAACCTAAACCAAACCTAAAACATCCTAAAACCAAACCTAAACCAAACCTAAAACCACACCTAAACCAACCCTTAACCATCAGACGTCCAACATCATATGCGACACACACTTTCGTGAAACCCCACAGCCTCGCCGGAAACCACGCGACACCTCCTGAAACCACGCAGCCTTTCCTGAAACCACGCATTTTCCTGACAGCTTTTCCTGGAACCACCCCAGACTTTCCTGACACCACCAAACCTCTCCTGAAACCACTTCCTGAAACAACCACCCAGCCTGAAGCCACACAGCCTCTGCTGAAACCACCTAGTCTTTCCTGAAACCACCCGGCACCTCCTTTCCTAAATTCATACACACTTCCGTGAAACCACACAGCCTCGCTCAGCCTTTTCTGAAACCACCTCCTGAAACCACACAGCCTTTCCTGAAACCGTCCAGTCTTTCCTGAAAGATTGCTCTGCGCAACATCGAGCGCAGGGCTAAACACAAGGTGACCCGCCCGGAAATCAAGGTCAGGGATATGGTTAGGATCACCAATCACTCTTTCATGAACCGCCCCAGCCTTTCCTGCAACCACAGACCTCTAAACCAACCCTAAACCGACCCTAAACAAACCCTAAACCAACCCTAAACAGAACCTAAACCAAACCTAAAACATCCTAAAACCAAACCTAAACCGAACCTAAAACCACACCTAAATCAACCCTAAGGGAGCCTTAAACAAACCCGAAACCTCACCTAAATCAACCCTTAACCATCAGACTTCCAACATCATATGCGACACACGCTTTCGTGAAACCCCACAGCCTCGCCGGAAACCACGCGACACCTCCTGAAACCACGCAGCCTTTCCTGAAACCACGCAGCTTTTCCTGAAACCACGCAGCTTTTCCTGGAACCACCCCAGACTTTCCTGACACCACCAAACCTCTCCTGAAACCACTTCCTGAAACAACCACCCAGCCTGAAGCCACACAGCCTCTCCTGAAACCACCTAGTCTTTCCTGAAGCCACCCGGCACCTCCTTTCCTGAATCCATACACACTTCCGTGAAACCACACAGCCTCGCTCAGCCTTTTCTGAAACCACCCGGCACCTCCTGAAACCAAACAGCCTTTCCTGAAACCGTCCAGTCTTTCCTGAAACCACCAATCACTCTTTCATGAACCTCCCCAGCCTTTCCTGCAGCGACAGACCTCTAAACCAACCGTAAACCGACCCTAAACCAACCCGAAACCAACCCTAAACCAACCCTAAACCGACCCTAAACCAACCCTAAACCAACCCTAAACCGACCCTAAACCAACCCTAAACCAACCCTAAACCAACCCTAAACCAACCCTAAACCAACCCTAAACCGACCCAAAACCGACCCTAAACCGACCCTAAACCGACCCTAAACCAACCCGAAACCGACCCTAAACCGACCCTAAACCAACCCTAAACCAACCCTAAACCAACCCTAAACCAATCCTAAACCAACCCAAACCAACCCTCACACAACGCTAAAACCACCCTAAAACCACCCTAAACCAACCCTAAACCAACCCTAAACCAACCCTAAACCAACCCTAAACCAACCCTAAAACAACCTCTAAAACAACCTAAACCAAACCTAAACCAAACCTAAAACATCCTAAAACCAAACCTAGACCAAACCTAAAACCACACTTCCAACATCATATGCGACACACACTTTCGTGAAACCCCACAGCCTCGCCGGAAACCACGCGACACCTCCTGAAACCACGCAGCCTTTCCTGAAACCACGCAGCTTTCCTGAAACCACGCAGCTTTTCCTGGAACCACCCCAGACTTTCCTGACACCACCAAACCTCTCCTGAAACCACTTCCTGAAACAACCACCCAGCCTGAAGCCACACAGCCTCTGCTGAAACCACCTAGTCTTTCCTGAAACCACCCGGCACCTCCTTTCCTAAATTCATACACACTTCCGTGAAACCACACAGCCTCACTCAGCCTTTTCTGAAACCACCCAGCACCTCCTGAAACCACACAGCTTTTCCTGAAACCGTAAACCGACCCCAAACCAACCCGAAACCAACCCTAAACCAACCAAAAACCGACCCTAAACCAACCCCAAACAAACCCTAAACCAACCCTAGACCGACCCTAAACCAACCTAAACCGACCCTAAACCGACCCTAAACCAACCCTAAACCCACCCTAAACCAACCCTAAACCGACCCTAAACCAACCCTAAACCAACCCTAAACCGACCCTAAACCGACCCTAAACCAACCCTAAACCAACCCTAAACCAACCCGAAACCAACCCGAAACCGACCCTAAACCGACCCTAAACAAACCCTAAACCAACCCTAAACCAACCCTAAACCGACCCTAAACCGACCCTAAACCGATCCTAAACCGACCCTAAACCAACCCTAAACCAACCGACCCTAAACCAACCCGAAACCGACCCTAAACCGACCCTAAACCAACCCTAAACCAACCCTAAACCAACCCTAAACCAACCCTAAACCAACCCTAAACCAACCCTAAACCAACCGACCCTCAACCGACCCTAAACCAACCTTAAACCAACCCTAAACCAACCCTAAAACAACCTCTAAAACCACCTAAACCAAACTAAAACATTCTAAAACCAAACCTAAACCAAACCTAAAACCACACCTAAATCAACCCTAAGGGAGCCTTAAACAAACCCTAAACCTCACCTAAATGAACCCTTAACCATCAGACTTCCAACATCATATGCGACACACACTTTCGTGAAACCCCACAGCCTCGCCGGAAACCACGCGACACCTCCTGAAACCACGCAGCCTTTCCTGAAACCGCGCAGCTTTTCCTGAAACCACGCAGCTTTTCCTGGAACCACCCCAGACTTTCCTGACACCACCAAACCTCTCCTGAAACCACTTCCTGAAACAACCACCCAGCCTGAAGCCACACAGCCTCTGCTGAAACCACCTAGTCTTTCCTGAAACCACCCGGCACCTCCTTTCCTAAATTCATACACACTTCCGTAAAACCACACAGCCTCGCTCAGCCTTTTCTGAAACCACCTCCTGAAACCACACAGCCTTTCCTGAAACCGTCCAGTCTTTCCTGAAACCACCAATCACTCTTTCATGAACCGCCCCAGCCTTTCCTGCAACCACAGACCTCTAAACCAACCCTGAACCAACCCTAAACCAACCCTAAACCAACCCAAAACCGACCCTAAACCGACCTTAAACCAACCCTAAACCCACCCTAAACCGACCCTAAACCAACCCTATCCTAAACCAACCCTAAACCAACCCTAAACCAACCCTAAACCAACCCTAAACCAACCCTAAACCAACCCTAAACCAACCCTAAACCGACCCTAAACCGACCCTAAACCAACCCTAAACCAACCCTAAACCAACCCTAAAACAACCTCTAAACCAATCCTTACCAACCCTAAACTGGCCCTAAACCAACCCTAAACCGACCCTAAACCAACCCTAAACCAATCCAAAACCAACCCAAACCAACCCTCAAACAAACCTAAAACCACCCTAAACCGACCCTCAACCGAACGTAAACCAACCCTAAACCAACCCTAAACCAACAACCTCTAAAACAACCTAAACCAAACCTAAAACATCCTAAAACCAAACCTAAACCAAACCTAAATCAACCCTGAGGGAGCCCTAAACAAACCCACCTAAAGCAACCCTAAACCATCCTCTTTCGTGAAACCACACAGCCTCGCCGGAAACCACACGGTCTTTCCTGAAACCACACGGCACCTCTGAAACCACCCAGCCTTTCCTTGAAACCACCCAGCCGTTCCTGAAATCGCACAGCCTCCCCTGAAACCAGCACCCAGTCTTTCCTGCAACTACACAGCCCTCCCGGAAACCACGCAGCCTTTCCTGGAGCCACCCCAGACTTTCCTGACACCACCACACCTTTCCTGAAACCACCACCCAGTCTTTCATGAAACACATAGCCTTTCCTGAAACCACCCAGGCTTTCCTGAAACAACCCGGCACCTCCTGAAACCACCCAGCCTTTCCTGAAACCATACATACTTTCGTGACGACTGCCAGCCAGGTCAAGGTGCCACCAAAACTAGGTACCTGACCCGTGGTAGCCGACACAGGTATCTGACTAAACCCTCCAAGGACCTGACCCGACCAACTCCCTCCATCACACACACTTTTCGTGCCTTTCCTGAAACCGCCCAGTCTTTCCTGAAACCAGCACCCAGCCGAAAACCATCCAAGCTTTCCTGAAACCGCCCAGCCTTTCCTGCAACCACACAGCCTTCCCCCTTTCCTGAAACACCGCCCAGTCTTTCATGCAACACACAGCCTTTCCTGAAACCACCCGGGCTTTCCTGGAACAACCCGGCATCTCCTGAAACCACCGAGCCTTTCCTTTCGTGAAACGACTGCCAGCCAGGTCTCGATTCCACCGAAACACGGTACCTGATCCGAGGTAGCTGACCCAGGTACCTGATTCAAGCCTTGGAGTATCTGACTCGACCAACTCCCATGGTCCTTGATGTTGATCATCCCGAGACACCCCCTTGCAAATAAATCGTGTATATCAGCTCCATCAAATGCTTCTACACAGGTTGTAAGCCACCCTTCTTCCCTTCCGGTGGCTGGTTAAGACATGCCGACGGTTTTGCGCCACAAGTTGTGCATTCCCCACCCCACCTGGTGCCGCTGTGTCAGCCTCAGCCTGAGGGAACGATGGCGGGCAACCCGAAGATGGCATGAGCCAACAATGACTGTAGACATAGAACAAGCAAGGTCAGAGGCGGAATGAACGAATGGAGGCATCTCAAAAAGGGTGCCCTGAACGCATCTGGCCTTCTTTTTGGCTTCCTTTTGGCTTCCCGAACACTGTCCGCGTTGTGAAACGCCCATCTTGCAGCCAGGCATGGGCTGTAGCCTCCACTCTACAAAAGAACTGGACACCTTCAGGTTGAGGCTTCAGACACATCTGAAATCTTGCTCAGTTGCTTCCTGGTCGGACATCAAGTCCGCGACAGGCGCTAGCAACCCATGGAAGATCCCGATTCCCAATAAACCCCCCAGGGTGAATTCTTGCCACCTGCGGTCATGGTGAGGAGTTCCGCATTGACGGCGAGGCATGTCGACTGCCAAGCTTCAGCCCGCTTAGCAGCAGCTGTCAACTTCAGATTGATCTTGACCCGACCAATCAAATGGTTCCCTTCAAAGCGGAGCCATGTTCTACTGAAAGGGCAAAACACCCTCTCTGAAAATGCAGGCCCTGAAAATGGCGGGAATCCCTCGTAGCTCCTTTGGCTTCTTTCCCATCGACCAAACCTTCACACCTTTTTGACATTTCCTTCGCCAGGGTTCCTTCGCTTCCATCTGCTGATACCCTGTTCCAAGCCAACCAAGCCCTCGGCCTCTTTGTGCTTGGCCGACCCGCAGCAACCTTGCACCATGACACCGGGGGGCAAGGGCGCTTCACAAAATAGGGGAACGCGGGAACCCCCAACACCGTGGTGTTCCTCGTGATCCTTGTGACTTCCCCTCATGCCGAAAAGGTGGCCAAGAGGGCACTATGCGTGTTTCCGAAATCGGAGCACCCCTGGAAGTGTGGTCCACTAGTCCATTTGTGTTTCCCTATGTCAGCTGTAAAGGCTTGCTTCAAACGGGGTCACAGGGGAAGGCAGGGCTTGGAGGTGTGTGAGCCATTTTCGGCAAACCAAGCTACGATTTACTGCCGACAGTGTTCGCCAACGAGGCGTGGCTTTTGCCCTTCTTTGGGAGACTACACTTCTTGGGGTGGATTTCGGACTCCTTAGGAGCGCGTGCTACTTGTTTGTAAAAAGTCATACCCAGTAGGGCCTTGCAAGTCATGCACAGACCTAAAAGAAACACGCCGGAAGCGACAGAAAATATTGCTTCCGTGCTTGCTCTTAAAGAGGAATTCGCTTCTACTTGTTTACCCATCATTGTAATCATAATGTTCATCCTGCTGATGCGACGGTCAGAAGCTGAGGCGCCCCGCCCATTCTTCACGGATCTTTCAGGGGGCGGTGCTCTGCTAGCATGCAAAAGGCCCACCAGAAGCACCCTTCGGTAAATATGGGGTGAGCTAAGACAAAGCTGCGAATATTCGGGTCAACACGCTCGGCTTGCCCTTGCGAGTGCTGATCTTGCAAAGTTACTCTCCATTGCAATGCGATGTGTGCAGAAACAACGAAACGTGACACTATGCCGTGTCCTTCTCACGCCTTCTTGATTTGGCCGATGTCTAGCAAATCCACTGGCTAGTTGCCGTTGTGTCCCCTCCATTGGAAAAAAAACACCAATGCTGGCGCTGTGCGTGTTTGATGCTTCAAGCTGAACCTTGCATTGAGCCAATGGCCTGCGAGATCAACGCTCTCAATCGACTTGCGCCAATGCAACTCGGAGCGCATAAAAGCGAAGCGGCCTGCATGCCATACATGGGCAGATGTTCTGGAACGGGACGCAGGACAAATCCGTATCCCTCCTCCCCGACATGCATCATGACATCCGTAAAGCCATCGCTGCATGTACCCGCAGCTGTTGGGTGCTCGAGCTTAAATTGCAACAAAGAAGTGCTTTCAGGAGCAACTTGTTCTGAGTATGGCTCTGAGAAGCATATCATGCTGTGGCTCGCTACATGGCAGGTAGGTACGTTGCAGACTGTGAAGAAAAGGGCGCTTGGAGTTGGCATTCTAAAGGTTTTTGGGCCGGACAACATTGTGCAGTGGTACATGCGCTGCCTTTACCATTAACTCAAGCTTTCAAGCCTATCTAACGCCTAGCTTGAAATTCGTGGCGCTCAAGTCTTGATAGCACGACATCTTGAACAATGGGTGTTGGGAGCTGCTGGTCTTTTCTGATCGGTTCGTTTCTGCATATATCCTAACCTGGTTGTGCTACATTTGTCGGCTGCTTGTCTGGTGCACCCGCCCCCCCCCAACTGCATTTTGCCGCCAAAGACGGTTCGCTTGCGGCCGCGGCTTCTGGCTGCGTCACTGCACAAGGACGTCTTCTTCGTCACTGGCGGAGCCTGGCAAGCCTCGCCTGGCGAAAAGGGGGGGAACCCCGAGTTGCTGATCCAAGTTGGGCGACACAGCCCTGAGATCTGGACTGATGGACAATTAGAAAGCGCGCTGTTTCAAGCATCAACCCATTTCAACAGGTGACAAAAGAAAGCGTCAATCCAACAGGTTGCATTCTCAATTTTATTTGAAACACTCACCCAGGTCTCTCCAGGTCACTTCAAGACCGCCTTTGGTTCCTCTACTCGCCTCCAGGTCGTCCGCGCTGGAGCTCTCAGTCGGCGCAGCCTGCCGATGGGCCACGGTCATTCCATCGCTCCAGAAGTCGATTCCTCGAATTCGCCGAATTCGAGGCTGCGAACGTAGAGGATGAAAGAGCAAGAGAATCCAACTAGAACTCCAAAAGGGCGCCCAACTTGAATTACCATGCAAGAACTAAGTCGCGAAAAGGAATCAGCACTCCTTGGTTTTGCCTGGAAGGCAGTTGTCAAGGCTCCGGTCTCGTACAAATTTCTGCCAGTGGACCTTCATGGCCCCCGAAGTCACCAGTTTCCCCAGTTCCATGGAGCTTGCGCAAGGATCCCTCCCAATTTGCATGAAACCTGACGTTCGGGTCCAAGACCATTTTCCTAAGACCCATTGTCAATTGGCAGTGGGTCAAAAACAGGTACCCAAAATGGGTTGCCCTGGTAAATGGAACCAAAGACTAAAACCTGCGGTCCCCTGGTGGCTTGACTTTGACCCACACCCAATTGGTTAAGGTACATGGTTGCATGTCGACTCCCTTTTGGTCACCCGCCCTTCTCCAAAATCAAAAGGCTCCCTTCGTCTTTACCCCATCCCGCGCCGGGGCCCGGGGCCCGGGGCCTCGCCTGCGCCTCCGCATAGCCCGGGTCTCGCAGCTTGATCAACGTCTCCAGCTCCGCCTCGCCGCTTCGAGCGGCCGGGGGAGACATCCTTGAAGCGTGTGTCAAGGGGGGGGCCCAACAAACTCTGATTTTTCCGGTGGCTCCTTTAAGGCCAACCTGAAAACACAACTGGAAACAACACACATGCAACTCTCACCTGCCCGAAAAACTAAACCAAAAGGTTGAAAGGTCGGCTTTGAACAAGTGCGTATCCAAAGTCGTCTTGATTGGGGTGCGGCCAAGGCCGATCATGGCGTACACAGGCTCCGCAGAAAACCAGGGAAGCCTCCATTTGGGCTTTGAAGGAAAAGTTGTCATTTTTTGAAGGGGAAAACATTACAGAACAGAGCACCTGACATCTCTACATTAAGTGACCTAACAGGACACATCTGTGGGAAGCGACCAGGCCGAGGCCGGGGCTATTCGGTTGCCCACCATCTCCTGCTGTTCAAGGCGAGCACAAAGCCATTGCATCTTTGGCCAACGAACATCGCACATCCAAACTCGGGGACAACTGGGCCTTGTGCCTATGTGTCCATTCATGTTTATGCCGATTTGTACCTATCTATCTATCAATCAATCAATATATATATATATAATAATAATAATAATAATAATAATAATAATAATAATAATAATAATAATAATAATAATAATAATAATAATAATAATAATAATAATAATAATAATAATAATAAATAATAATAATAATAATAATAATAATAATAATAATAATAATAATAATAATAATAATAATAATTAATAATAATAATAATAATAATAATAATAATAATAATAATATTAATCTATCAAACTACCTATCTACCTATCTACCAATCGACCCATCTACCTATCGACCTATCTACATGCATATCATTACCGAAGTTGGTGTTTCGTCGCATGTCTTAGTGCGTGTGTTGGTGTGTGTTGGTGTGCGTAAGTGTGTGTGTGTGTGTGCGCGCGCGCGCATGTGTGGGTGTGTTGCTGTGCGTTGTGTTAGTGTGTATGTGTGTGTGTGTGTGTTGGTGTGTGCTATGTGTTGGTATCTGTTGCTGCCGAAATGACAAGCAACTCCTCACAGTCGCCCTCGCCTTGATCTTGGGGTTACTCTTGGAGCGCGGGTCGAAGTTGTACCTAGCAGCGCAGGCGACACGATTGACATCGCCGAAGAACACAACGCAAAGACAACGCCGGTGATTCTTCAAACATGGCTTCCGTTGGCCCCTTAAGCCTGTTTCAGCAAGTCATTTGAGCTGGCGGCAAGCACTGAGTCCTCAGCTTTACAGGTAACACATGGTCAACACTGAGAAGGAAGATAGAACATCGAGCAACTGCCGACCTCAAGCCATTGCAGCAAACATCCTTGTCCTGTCCCAAAAGTGCAGGAATGATGTCTAGGAACATGTGTGCAGGGCGTAGTTGTGGCTCACTGCTGGTCTCAGTTGGGCAATCGTGACGTGGGCTTAAACGCCCATCGGACTGGCTCCAAGACGTCCACTGGAATCCAGTTCACCAACAAGTGGGAGATCAAACTCATCCTATAAAGGAAGTCACAGGCATCTAAGCCTTGCCCAGCGGCAATGAGTAAAACACTCCAAAAGCAATCGGGTTTGGTTTAGCGCATAGCTCGATCAGGTAGCCCGCCCTTTCGTGTAAACAATAGGCGAAACAAATTGGAAGTCCGCTTCGGATCCCCCGCAAATTGACTACCACCACCACAGATAACGACCAACTACCCAACTACCCGAACCGCAGCTACATTTTGGATCGGATTGATCCTTCCGCGCACACGAGCTTGAACACGGCCACAGCCCTCTGGAAGCCCTCGAGGGCCTCGCGAGTGTTCTTTCCTTCCGCCTTCCGCCTTCCGCTTATGCCAAAGGAGTCATGGCCAAGAACAACATGGAAGTGCATGGCACCAATCAACCTTACCGACATGAAGGGAAGAGTGCCATCTGCTTCCCAAGTGAAAATAATTACTTCTTATCTGGGGATTTTCAGGGTCCGCAATCCCGGTTGGACATTCACACCACAAATGGGTTTTTTTGCTGGCTGGGGTCCATCCTAATTTGCAAAAGATGTCTGTTGAACACTCTCGCTTTGGCTTGCGGCTTGCGGTTGCGTAGTCGTCAAAGTCATGCTTGCCCTCGGGCGGCTTCTGCTTGTTCGCACATCAGGATTCCGTGGGTTTAGACGAAAAACACACAAACATGCACATTCCCAATGTTTCTCTCTTACTTGGGAAAATCCCCTGCCCTAAGTTCTTGTGTTGCTGTGTCCTCTTTTGAAGGCACTCCGATCCTTTTTTTCCGTGGATTTCCACCATTTTGGGCAGGTCTAAAAAACACAAGACACCCTACCCCCGCTTCCCCCCCAACCTCCCCCTCACTCCCCCTCACTCCCCCAACCAACCTCCCCCCCCCCTCCCAAACCCGAAACCGAACCCCCCCAACCCCGCCTCCTCCGCCTCCCCGGCCGCGTCCAGCTCCCGGGCCTCCCGCTCCATGGCAGCGCCCACCTGCAGCCGGTCCTCCCCCGGGCCTCGGCGTGGGAAAAACCCAGGGCCGGCCAAACACCCGGCGCTTCGGGTGCGGGGAGGTCACCAAAAGAGAGTTGCTTAGGGTTTGGGGCTTGGGCAGATGGGCTTGGGTAGATGGGGTTGGGGGTTATGCTTGTATTTGGGTTAGACTGTAGAGAAGGGATAGGTGAGGGGGTGGGTAGATCGGGTTGGGTGTGAGGAGAAGGTTAGGGGGCTGCGGTAGATGGGGACAAACAGGTTATGCTCGTATTTGGGTTAGAAACAAAGAGAGGAAAGCAGACTGCGGATGATTCCGCGTCGCACAACGGATGCATGAAGGCCAGAATCGCCCTACAAGGAGCAGGATGTTGCCCATACGGTTTTCTGAAAGGAATTCAAGAACACATGGTGAGCCACATGTATCAACACGCTGTTCCTGGTACTGGGCATGAGAAAAGAGGAAGTCCCGCACTGGTTATAGATTTGAAGACATGTCGCACCTCACTGGGGAACACTGAAGATAACTGCTCTCTTTTTTCTTCTGTGTTCTACTTTCAGACAACCTTGAGAATTAATACCTTGAAACGAAGACAATCCCATATGCCAATATTTCAGGCACGCACATGAAGAATATATCTTGAATGCGGTTTTCCATTTGTGTCCTTCTCTTTACTCCCAACAGACTTTTGTGTGCACACAGGTGTGCGTCAAACACCGGTAATGCAAAACTACCAACAGGACGCCAACCGTTTAGACGCATCCCTACCGTAGCAAACTTGTTAGGGCTCCTCACCTCGACCCATGTTGACCTATCCAGGTTTAGTGTGGTTGACATTTCAGCGAGGCGCTTCCCTGCAGACTCAACAACTCGCCAAGAGTCCACAAGGGTGCTTCGACATGTTCATTGACCCCAAGTCAAATGGGTGTGTAAGGAATTGGGCCGCTGGTTTTAGTCCGTGTTTCCATTTGGCTGTGGCTCAAAAAACCGGTACCAAAATGGAACCCTGGTAATTGGAAACGTGGACCAAACTTGCGTAACCCCTCCTGGTTCATTTTGAGCCACACCCATTTACCGGGGGCAAGCCCAGCGTGGGCTTCCCCGACTTTTGGACCCGGACCCTCAACGCCTGAGGCTCCGGACCCAACTTCAGCTCCACCCAGGGGCACCTCCGCAGCTGATCCCGGAGCGCCCGCAGCGCGGGTCCTGGAAAACGGACCGCGAGCGTGGCGCTGGAAACACGCGGAAGGATGCGGAAGGTCATCAAGGTCACATAATAAAAATGGAACCATAAATATATAAATACATATATATATATATAAATCCAAGAAACAGGCAGGAAGTTTGACTACGTGTCTTCTTAAACAAGTGTTGAAGGGAAAACCTCGATGGGTCGTCGGACTTGCCAGTGCTGGCAGTTTTGGCCACTCCTCATGTGCTGGTCGCTGGAAACCCAGCTTGAGGACAGTGCTTCAAAGATGTTTGAACAGGTGGTACCACTTGCCACCCACCAAAGCCCACTCTGCAGGACAAGGCATGGTGCAGAGTCCGCCTAGCTAAGTTGGGCATTGACTGGCAATCCGGATTCTTCTGCATGCTTTTGGGAGGATTCTGGTGAACCGCCGACTCTTTCACTGTGGCAAGGCATACTTGGCAAAGGCGTTTCATGTTGCCTGCATTTCAGACAAGGATGCATCTGCTTGATCCTTCACAATTGAAGCAGTGCGAATCAAACAAAGGCGTTAGGCAATCAGGGCATCCTATTTAGCTGTGCATGGATACGCGCTCTGCTGGAAAGGTGGGTTACGCAAGACAAGGTGGGTTACGCACCAGCACCTGCCCAAGCAAGCACACATGGCGGGGGGGCTGGCTCAAAAATCATAGTCTGCCGGCAATTGTTTCCCTTGTGACTGCATTGTGACATGGTGTGTTCAACTAGTTCACATCCCCCGGAACATGCCCTCGAATTTCCAGGGCACAAACACAGTGGCCTCATAAGCCTAGTGCGAGGCAGCTGTTTCAATTTTTAGTTGGCACGTCTAAAGATGACTTGGCTTCATTCCCAAGCAAGCAGCATTGCAAGCTGACCCGTGTGGCCTCAAGCTATGGTGCTTGACCTCTCTGCAACACGCAAGCACTTGGATTTAGCCCTGCATAAGCCAACACCAACACAGTCTTGGCACATTGCACCACGCACTTTTAGCATTAAAGTTTGTCCCGCAGAACATCTGCATCAGTCCGCGCCAAGGCTGCGCTCCGCCTTGGTGGCTGGCATGCTAATAAATGACAACACGCGGAGCTGACGAGTGAGACGTCGGCAGCTACAAGAAAGCACGCTTGGATACTTGGCCGCAAGTTTGCAAGTCGCAAGCGGAGCAAAGTGCAAGCGAAGAGCGGCAATCTTGGGTCTCAAACTATTCTCAACAATGAACCGATAATGCGTGGACGGGCGGCAACGGACCTTATAACTTGTAAGTCGGGGCTTGCTCAAGCCCAGGCCACCCAGCCACTCCTCTGGTGGCAAGCTATTGTCAACGCTGCATCCCAAAATCTGCGATTGGCCACCACCAGCCCTGCAAGCTCGCCCTTGCGCAAAAACCCAAAGCAAACAGCCGGTCTGCCGGCTTCAAGTTCTGCAGCCCCCGAACACGCTTGCACAGGTCCCAACAATCGCTTCTTCTGAGTGCCTCCTGCCATAGCAGAGATCTGCGCCGGCCTGCGCACCGTGTCCTGCGGGCCTTGGTGCCAGCATTGCGCGCTGGGCTGCGCTGGAGGCTGCGCTGGAACGATGCTCGGAGCAATCATTGTATGGGCACCTTGTTTTGAATCGCGCATTCTTTCTAAGTCCTGCTGGTTGGACGTGCGTTGGTGTTCCGGCAAGGAGAAGAGGTCTGACACCTGTGAGCACAACCCCGGACTGTGCATTCGGGCCGAAAGACCACGCCGCGCTCTTCGTGGAGTGCGGGCGAACTAGGCCTGGGTCAACCTGGCAAAAGCCGGGGTGTTACAGAACCATGTTGCTTGCACCCTCTCACTGGGGTTGCTACGGAACCTGGCTAGAACAAGCCTCTGCGTTGGACCACGCTTGCTCTTAGTGGGACCTTCAGGTGGACTCAGATTAGTGAGGAGGTCATGTTTGGAGGGCTGTTGGTACTTCAGCTTCCTTCATGTGTGCGCGTTCTGTCGTGACCGCAGTATGTGTTTGGTTGAGCGTTTTACTTTCTTGCTTTGCATTTCTTCGGTCGCAGTTGTTTTCCCTCCGGAGAGGGAAAACACAAATTTTGTTGCCATCGTTTCAGCCACCAGCGCGTCAACCGCCCGCTCTCTCGCCTCTTTGGCGAATCACTCGCCAAGGCTCGTGGAAGGGATCCTGGAGCAGAAGACATGGCCAGAGACGCCAACAACGCGGCGCTGCAGGCGGCGCCGGTCATGGAGAGTTGCTTCTGGCGGAGCACGCTGGGCCGTTTGACGCATGCTGAAAGAAGGGCTGAGATTGTCGGCCGCGGCGCGGAATTTCGCGGTTTCAGCTTGCGCGAAGGGCATTGACCACGGGGATGCGAGATTGGATGGGATCTCTTACAACGTGCTGTGCTGGACACGCTTGCGCATTGAAGAGCAATCAGGCTCAAAGCATTGCAAATTGAGCCAGGCCCAGCTTGCAAAGGGTGAGAAAACAACTTGCAGGATACAGCATCGAGCAGAACTTGGAGTCCACGGCTGGCTGCATGGCTTGGGCTTGAGCGAGGTGCAGCCGAAGCGGAGCTCAAGGAGACCATTTGCCTTTGCAAACGTTTGCTTGCAAGGTTCCATTTTTTGACCCAAAGTGGACTTAAACCCAGGGGTGGTAGATTTCCTTAAAAGGGAAACCCCTGGGTTTCAGTCTATCTTGGGGTCGTGAGAAAACGGAACCCTGTCGCACACATCTCTGGTTCCAAGGGAGAGAATTTCTCGTGACACCTGTGATCACTGGATGAATGGTTTCACGGAAACTTGTCTGGGTCACCTCAAAGATGCAGCTGTCGCCTGGGGAGAAATCCGCCATTGCTCCCGCTACTGTGAAAGAGTTCCCTTGAAGAATTCTCCTACTGCGGCGCGGTGCGGCGCGGTGCGCAGGCAACGGCATGGTCGTCTTGGGCAAAAAGCCGGCCGAGGGGCCTCGACGTCTCGGAGCACACGCGTGCAGTTGGTTGGAGAGCCAGGCCAAAACCTTCGGTGGCCAGGGTCCAAGCTCCAATGAAATCGCCGAAAGATTGCACGCACTGCACTGGGAGCCTCGGACTCATCTCATACCGGAACATCACCCTGAACCGAATCGTTTTGTCCAATCCCATCGAATCTGCTCAAAGGAAATGCAAGCTGCATCTCTCCGGAAGCTGACTGGGTCTGGGTTCTTGCCGGCCCCCAGCGCCTTTTGCACAACCCCTCCCCCTGCCCCTGCCAAGCGCGGGCTTGAACCTCACCAGCTCCGATCTGGCTGACAAAACAGTGTTGGAAGCCCCTGATTTGGGCTCCCAAGGTCAAGCTGTCCCAACTCGATGCTTTACAATCTTTTTGCCCCCCCCCAAGGCTCTCCTTCGCCCAGCGCGCGCTGCACGAAGCCAACCTGATCAAAACTGGCACAACGCACAGCCGGCATGGGCACCCGGCCCCAACTAACAAGACTGCAGCAAGTCTTCATATCCTCAGACTGGCGTGTGTGTCTTCAGTATTGGCGAGGTTCAAAGGAAACTCGATTACTTGTCCTCTAAATGTTTTGGTGGGTCCTACCCTAGTTTTGATTCAAGAGAGTAAGCGACCCCTGCAGCGCCACCCCCGCCGTCGCCCTCCAAATCTCCCCTCGGGCTGGTGCGAACTCCAAGGCAGAGGCATCGTCAGCCTTCACCTGGAAGCGCTCGGTCGATGGGGGTTGGGTCAGGGTCCCTCCAGATCCCGTACCTCAGGGCGAGCACACCACCATGAAATCGACTTAGATCATGTGGCGAGGTTGGCTGAAAATGGCTGCGCCCACCTTCCCCCTTGCCAGACGGGATTTCGCTTGGTCCAGAAGTTGGGCACTCGGCTTGGTCTGAACAATCTAGCTCAAGCAGGTGCGGCACGTCAAACCACGGACCCCCAGAAGCTTCCAACTCAGGGTGGCTAAATCAGAAGTTCTGCTGCAAAGCCGCGGGTGCAAAAATCAAATCACCATTCAAAGAAGAGGTGTGGAGAAGCGGGAACAACCCTGGACAATCTAATTTTGCTGGGCCGACCGGCCTCATATGGCTTACAATCCACAAAAAGCACATGGCTGCGTGACAGCTCCTTCCTGCAAAACATGCAACAGGACCTGTTCGGGGATCCATGCGAATGACAAACCAAAGGTCCGAGGTTGGATTCGAGGAACTGAGTGTTTCTTGGTGGGAGGCTCTCCCCCGCACCTGCCGCCAGTCTTTGCTCAGCAAGCGCTGGACAAAGCTTTGCAGCTCCTCCTGACAATCTCGCAACCAGGGGCCCCACGGTTGGTTGGCTTTGATCCGACACCCACTTGGCGGATACCTGTTGACTCATTCTCATGACAAAAGCAATGACGGAGTGCCAAAGACGGGCCGGTCGCCGGGGCCGCGTCTTGGGATCAAGTATATCTGTCTGCATCACTCGGTCGGACATGTTGCCTCAATGGGCCCGCCCTCGTTTTAGCATCAGTCATGTTCCCGACAAGTGCGTCAAGCGCACTTCCACTTCGGCAAATGCCTAAAGTGCATCCAGCTTCTACCCCAGTGGCAAATCGCTTGGAATGATATGGGAGAATCGGGCAGGGTTTGCTTCCTGACGGGTTCCAACTTAATTGCTTGAACCCAAATGGGGTGAGAAAAGAAAAGCAACCCCTGTCTCACGACGCATGTGACTATGTGCGAATGATTTCTCATGAGTCTCCCGGGAGAAATTTGTGCAAAAAAAACGACCGCTTGTGGCGTCCGTCCTCTTTTCTGAGTGCCATCACCATCTGCAAGCCCTCCTCTGAGAGATCTGCCGAAGCCCCTGTCACACCTGGCGATGGCGCATAGCAGCGCCCGTGGGCAATCCTCAAACTTCAGCAGCCTTGTCAGTTTGCTTAGTTAGTTAGTTAGTTAGTTCGTTCGTTCGTTCGCTTGCTTGCTTGCTTGTCTGTCTGTCTGTCTGTCTGTTTGTTTGGCTCCTTGGCTGGCTGGCTGGCTGGCAGGCTGGCATCTTTGTTGGCTCGATTCTTTGTTTGCTTGGCCGCGCTTGGCTGGTGGCTTGCTTGCATGCTTGTTTGCATGGACGGCTGGCTGGCTGCTGGCTGAAATACCTGAATGAAGGGAATGGAATGACATAAAATGAAATGGAAGGGAAGGGAAGGGAATGGAAGGGAAAGGGAACGGTACGAAAATGGGAACGGAGCGGGATGGAGGGATGGAGGGCTGGAGGGCTGGAGGGCTGGAGGGCTGGAGGGCTGGAGGGCTGGAGGGCTGGAGGGCTGGAGGGCTGGAGGGCTGGAGGGCTGGAATAATAATAATAATAACAATAATAATAATAACAATAATAAGAATATAATTAATAATAATGATAGTAATAATAATAACAATAGTAATAATAATAATCAATAACAATAATAACTAATAATAATCAAAAATAATGAATACTAATAACAATAATAATAATAATAATAATAATAATAATAATAATAATAATAATAATAATAATAATAACTGATAATAACAATACTAATACTTATTTTTTTTGTTTTTTTTTTAAAAAAAAAAAACAAGGAATGAACGAATGAACGCAAGCATGATGGATGGATGGATGTGCCGTAAATTGTGTGCACGCCATCTGGGTCATGATCCAAATCAAAATGTGTCCACCCACTGGAGACCTCCTCCCTTCTCCCCCAGGCCAATGGCCTGACCGCGCCAGGAGCTCCGGGAGCTGCTCCTCCCTGGGCTGCTGCGCCACCTGCGGCGCAGCAGCGCCGCGCGGGTTTGGGGGGGAAGCCACCGGCTGCAACCCTCATGGGAAAAGCTTCCTGAAAGCGAAACCGAAGACAGGGAACGAAAAAAAATGACCCCACCCCCCCCTCCCCCAAAAAAAAAAAAGAAGAAGAAGAAGAAGAAGAAGAAGAAGAAGAAGAAGAAAGAAGCAGCAATCCGTCGGACTTTTAAAGATATGGTGTCCTTTTGAGTTTGCTTGGAAAACTCGTCAAAGGGCTTCATCCAATTCGGGGACATCTCTCATGGCGCCTCTTTTGATCCTACTTTCACTCCGGGCAAGCCATGATTAGAGTTGGGCCCAGTTGTAGAATGTATATTTTATTGTTTGCTTCACTTTGAGTCACTGGTAAAATGTAAGATGTATCCTAAGTCTACCCCAGAAACCTTTCCAGTCTCTGAGTGAGGCGCCGAAAGGTCCAGGCTGATCCTGGCACATGGCCAAGAGCAGCAACCAATCTCAGATGGGAGTAGCCCCACCAACCATCTCCGACCAACTCGGGTTCCTTTCTATATTTCCTGAGGACCAAACGTGCCCTTCGAATATCTGGCAAAAGGAACTCTGATGGTGACATTGAGCCCAAGGCCCTTCAACGGTGACAGCGATTTCCTGATTAGTGAGGCCTAAGACCGACACCTCTCTCAGATTTGATTTCCCTCAAGTCAAAACTGGATCAATTTGAAACTGCCAGCTTTGGAAAGTCCGAAAATGGCCTATCCTCCCACCCTTGCCACCATGAAAACCGCAAGTGCGCCGGCGCCGCGACAGCTCGCCCACGTGATCCTCCAAAGGCATGGACGGGGGCCTCAGCCGAAGGACTCGGGGCAATGTCCTTCTCCCCTTTTCACAATTCAACATATCATCATTTGCCCCAAGGACCTGAAAATAAAAGGCTTACCTTTTGGCTGACGGAGCAAAATAGGAATACGTAAAGCTCAAAAGGCCGGCTTTGGACAACTTAGTATTCTCCATGGATGAATTTTGAAAAAAAAGACGAGGTGGTACCATAAGCAGACACATAGGGAATGCTTGGCGAGGTTTTGCCAAATTCTCCAACGAAACTACCTTGCTGACGAAACGTTGCAAGGGCCTCCAAAGTAGCTCCGAGACAACCATACCCTCTGATTGGCAACTGGGGATTTTCCTTAATGAGGTGCACACTCCAATCAGTTCCCCATCCCCAGCTAGGAAATAGCTTTGGACCCCACCTCTGGCTATTTGCCCACAAAATGAGTGGTTCACCTTCGCTTTCCCCTTCCAAAAACACAAGCAAAGCAAGCGCCAACGACAGCTCTGGTCTTGCCGCCTAAACCATTGGAAGACTACCCCCACCGATACGCCCGCTGGGCTCCGGTCACGCCGCCCAGGCTCTCCAGGTACACCGCCCTTGCGGTGAGATCCTCTCCATCTCGGTTTGGAAAATCACCGTGTTCTGCTTCGGGGAAACACGGTCCTTCCATTTGCTGAAGCCCCCCCGGAAAAATAAATAAATAAAATAATTTCCAGTAGTGATCGATTCCCTTTGAAACCAACAGGGAAAACATCTTGAGCAAACGGAAGGTAGAAACTCTGGCAGGAAACGCCCAAAGTGGAACCGGCACTCCATGTCGCTTTCCGCCCTCTCCTGCGCGTGGCCTTCCAACTCCTCCCGGTCCGCCTCCCAAAGCTCTGCGGCCTGAGGGCAAGGTGCGTCTCACGGGTCTGGTCCTATTGGATCTACTCATCGAAAGGAAACTCAGCTCAAAACAGCAAGAAGCGAGACCCCGTCTCGCACGCGTTGCTTCCGCTTCCGCTTTGGCGCCTCCTTAAATTTGGCCGCCGCCCGCGTGTGATGCAGCGCCGCCTGTGCCGACTGTCCCTGGCCTCGGAGAAGCCCAACCGAGCGTCCAACAAAAACCGGGATTCCAACGAACCAATCAAGTGCATCTGCAAGGACTCAGAGGTTCTAGAGTACCCTGCAGGTACCCCTCCGAAAATGAGGTCCCTGGGAGGAGCTAGCCTTTTATGGCGAAATGGGCGGTACATTTGGCATCATTTGCGGGCACAGTGCAACCCTGGCACCCCTAAGACGAAAAAAGAAGCAGAGAGACGCGCTTCGCAAGGGCCCGGTTTTCTTGGTGATCTGACGTGGACCTTCCAGCTCTCTTGGACTGCCAGGCTAAGGGAAAGTTGTGAAGGATTCAGAGATCGCGCCGCGCTTCACTCCGAAGCACTTGGCACGCGATGAGACAAACCTTGGAACCTCTTCTCCGGAAAAAATGCGCTGGCGGCCCCCAAAAATGGGAGCCGCCCGCTTTTCAGGGTGTTTTCAAAGGAAAACCCAACGGTCGCCGACCATCCCATTCCACACACTAGTGCAGCACACACACTACACACACACACAGGTTTAATCCACAGCGAGTTGGAATCCCCGGAAAACAATTAGCCTCTCTCAACAAACGTCTCTCACTCCTGATAAGATATTATCTATGCTTCTTCGCTTGGATGATCTAGTATGGAAACATGAAAATGTGCTCCGCAAAAACACGTAGATGAGCATGCAAATGCACACCTTGACCAAGAAGAGTACCCTCACATCAACTAAAATGGACCTCCCATTGCGGGTTGCATTGTTTCTTTCAGCTTCCCCGTCCAAAGGCAGGAGAACAGGACCCCGTCAGGGTCTATGCGAAGAAACAAAGACCTCAGATCCCCGGCGATCCAGCTCCGCTGCCTTCTCCTGTCAAACCCTCCTAAGGGGCCGTGCACAGGTTGCCCTGTGTCTCTTGGAGTTTACTTGGAGCAGACAGATCAGCTGAAGCCATTGGTGGGCCAGATTCCCCTTGGCGCCGCTCCAAATACAACGCAGAGCCACTTGGACACCGGGGCACGGAAGCTCGGCAGCACGTAAGCTCTCTGCCACAGGCACTTTGTGCACAAAAGGAAGGTCAAAACAATAAAAACAATATCGCAAAATCCAAACGCTGAAGGCCTGAAAGGCGGTTCGCCCGAACTGGACACCACACGCACAGAACATACGCACACGCGTACCGCATACCGCCCCTTTTACTGTCGCATTGAGGTCGCGAGTCCGGCTGCTCGTCGCATCTGCCTTCGTAGATAAGCGATTGGACTGCAGCCAAGATCTCCAGGCGAGCTGCAAATCACGCCCATTTTGTTGCACGCTAACATAAGGAAAAATATGGGGGACCAGGACGTGTCCTTTCTGGGTGTATATAGCCAGTTTGGGGCTGTTCAAAGAAGACCCTCTTTAGAGGTCCCCCACCTGCTCACGGCAAGTAACACCTACTCCGGGTGAGGAACTCTCCAGGCAAAACAACAGCATATAACATGGAAAAGGATATGGGTGAGAACCAAGCTCGAAATTTGCAATGCCAAACTTGTCAGATTTGAGCAGCAAGCACGGAGGTGTCGGCCGGTACTTCTCGACTCTTGACATCTCTGGGTGAAACTACGTCTTGGGTTTGCAGTTTGTTTGCTAAATTTGGCACGAGAGGGCACAAAGGCGACTCTGATCCAAATCAGCAAGTTAATTTCCGCGGGACCCTCTGCCGGAAGAAATGACGGACCACGTCCCAGCATCGGCACCAGTGACGTGGCCTGGTTAAAAACATCTGCCCACCTCACTTTCAAAGCATACAGTGACAACTGTACTGTTTGTGAGAACACCAGAGAAAGGTCAGAAAGATCCCTGCCACATCACAGAACCATGCTTCCACCCAGTCAGCCTCTGAGAAAACCTCGGGCAAAAGAGGCTCAAGGCAGGGGCCAGCTTCTATGGACACCCGGCATGGTCTTCCCAGAAAAGATCCCCCTAGAATTCGCTTTTGCCAGCCACCCTAAAAATCACCTGCGGGGTTGCCCGTACTTAAATTCTAAACTAAGCCCCAAGGTGGAGAAGGGATTCCCAATCACCCAGCCATTTGGAGACTCTCAGGGTTCCACTTTGCGACCCCAAGATAGACTTAAACCCAGCTGGATGCGCTTCCGAAAATGGGCCCTTGACTTCCGCTGCTCCGAATCGTTGCGGAGACATTGAAGTTCTGAACGAGTGTGAGAAAGATAGGGAGCCGATTTGGACAACGGCCGGACGAGGAAACCAGGGCCGGAAGACTGACGTTGTTTCCAGTTCGGGGGGGCGGTCCGCTCATGTCCGCAGGATTGGTTTGTTGCCTGAGATTCAAGACATCCTTGCTGTGGGCCTGGAGCCTGTCCCAAACCCACATGTGAACACATCTGCCGCTTAGAAGCCTTGTGCAGGCTCGTTCTTTCGCAGGACAAAGCTCAGGCCACCATTGCCTGCGGCAGAAGCAGGTCATGTCGAACCCGGATTCTTTCGCCAGAAAGTGATATTGGCCGCTGGCCAGGGTCTAGGATTCCTGCCCCCCCCCCAAAAAAAAAGAAGAAAGTTTGGAACAAGGGAGGCACACACCCACCCACGCACCCACGCACGCGCACGCGCACGAACACGAACACGAACACGCGCACACACACACAAACACAAGCACAAGCACAAGCACAAGCGCAAACGCAAACGCAAACGCAAACGCAAACACACACACACACACACACACACACACACACACACACACACACACACACACACACACACACACACACACACACACACACACACACACACACACACACACACACACACACACACACACACACACACACACACACACACACACACACACACACACACACACACACACACACACACACACACACACACACACACACACACACACACACACACACACACACACACACACACACACACACACACACACACACACACACACACACACACACACACACACACACACACACACACACACACACACACACACACACACACACACACACACACACACACACACACACACACACACACACACACACACACACACACACACACACACACACACACACACACACACACACACACACACACACACACACACACACACACACACACACACACACACACACACACACACACACACACACACACACACACACACACACACACACACACACACACACACACACACACACACACACACACACACACACACACACACACACACACACACACACACACACACACACACACACACACACACACACACACACACACACACACACACACACACACACACACACACACACACACACACACACACACACACACACACACACACAGTCGCCCCAGTGTCTGTCCTCGTCTGGAGGAGCCAAGTTGTGCTCCTCCGCCGCAGCCTGGCTGGCACACAACCCCGCAACGGTGTGCGGTGACATGCGGCTGCAATGCGATGCCTGGCCTTGCGGCGTTCCTCTTCCTCGGCCTCCATCTTCGCCAGCTCCGCCGTCTTCATGCGGAGCTTGAAGAGATTCTCCACTTCAACCCGCTGCGGACCGTTCATAGGCCGGCCGCCATTCATTCGGCGGAATTCGGCCACCTTGCCCTGGACCTCCTGCTTGGCCTCCATCTCAGCCTCCAGGAAGTTCTGCTGCAGCAGCGTGAGCGCCAGAGTCGGCGGGGCCAGGACCTCGGGTGGGCCCTGGACCTGCGGCGCCTCCGGCGCCTTCGCCGACGCCGCGGGCGCGGGCACCGCGGCTGGCACCGCGCTCCTCGCCAGGGCCCGCAGCACGCGGCGCAGCCCCGCGCAGATCTCTGCCATGGCGGACGGCATCGCAGCGAAAAGGACCTGATGCCGTCTTTCGTCGGGACACGTCTTCGAGCAGCGCTTGCAGTGGGTGAACATATCAATGCCTGTGCAAGCAAACGCCTGCCTCCAGCCCCTCCGTCCCAGCTCTATCCACCGAAACTGTCAACAAACCGCTAGCCCTCTGTCCCGCCCAGCTCCCCCGAAAACTTTGCCCCCCCCATAACCACGCCCACAGAAGCCTCCAAACTGCGCTCATTTTGGGTTTCAGTCTTTCTCTGTCTACAGCGGCTTTGCGTTTGCTGGAACGTAAGGGATGAGTCTGAGCCTTTACATAACCCTTTGAAATCCAATCTGGTGCACATATGAGCCTCCTTGCACGCCCGCCTCCGCCTGCTTCCCCTCCTGGACGAGCCAAGCGCACCGCCCTGTGCAGATGAAATCATCTGCGCGGAGAACTATTCACCAAACCAGGCTGCGGGCAATTCTGAGGGACATTCATCCTGGGTGAGCTCTGAACCCCAAAGCTCAATACCAGTGCAACACTGATGCCGGATGTCGGAGAACTCGATTTGAGCAGCGAGGGCTCAAACACGTTGGCATTGGCTTCTTCCAAAATGGGCCATGACTAGAAGCTGCACTGAACCAAAGGAGTGGAACTCTCTACTACAGTGCGCCAACCAGCGAACAGGGGGGGGGGTAAGAGGCAAGATCATACCCTATGTGTCGTTCTGGCTGGTTCTAGCTTTGAGTCAATTGTTGAAGTGAAATTCCAATTTTTGAGTAGTTGGAGCTGGTTTCCCATAATTGCAATAATTATTGCAACTATTGGAATTCAATTCCAATAGTTGCAAGAATTGCAATTTTTTGAGGTCCCGGATTTTGCAATTATTGCACGTATTGGAATTCAATTTGGAGGTCCCGGATTTTGCAAATATTGGAAATATTGGAATTCAATTCCAAGAATTGGAATAATTGCCATGTTTGGAGGTCTCAGAATTTGCAATTAATGGAATGAGTCGGCCCGGATTTGCAGCCAATCTAGGATCAGTTGATTATTGGCAATAATTGCAATAATTGCAAAACCCGGGACCTCCAAATATTGCAAGTATTGAAATTGAATTCCAATAGTTGCAATAATTGCAAAATCCGGCACCTCCGAGGATTGCAACTATTGCAATTATTGGAATTTCATTCCAACATTTGCAATAATTGCAAAATCCGGGACCTCCAAATATTGCAAGAACGGCAATTATGGCAATGATTCGAATTGAATTCCAATAATTGCAATAATTGCACAATCCGGGAACCCCAAATATTGCAATTATTGCAATTATTGGAATTGAATTCCAATGATTGCAAAATCCGGGACCTCCAAATATTGCAATTATTCCAATTATTGGAATTAAATTCCAATAGTTGCAATTCTTGCAAGAATTGCAACAATTGATTGATCCCAGATTTGGCTACAAAGCCAGGCCGGCTAATTCCAATAATTGCAACAATTGCGAAGTCCGGGCCTCCAAAAATTGTAATTATTGCAAGTATTGCAATTGAATTCCAATAAGTGAAATAATTGCAAAATCCGGGACCCCCCAAATATTGCAAATATTGGAATTGAATTGCAAGAATTGCAATAATTGATTGATCCCAGATTTGGCCACAAAGCCGGGCCGCCTAATTCCAATAATTGCAATAATTGCAATAATTGCAAAATCCGGGACCTCCAAATATTGCAATTATTGCTTGCAAGTACTGGAAATGAATTCCAATAGTTGCAATAATCGCACAGCCCAGGACCCCCGCATATTTTCAATTATTGCAATTGATGGAATTGAATTCCAATAAGTGCAATAATTGCAAAATCCGGGATCTCCAAATATTTTGGCGATTATTCGAATTGAAATCCAATAATTGCAATAATTGCAAAAACCGGGACCCCCAAATATTGCCACTACTTCAATTATTGGATTTGAGTTCCAATACCTGCAATGATTGCAATAATTAGTTGGTCCCAGTCTTGGCTACAAAGCCGGGACGACTAATCCCATAATTGCAGTAATTGCAAAATCCGGGACCTCCAAATATTGCAATTATTGCGACTATTGGAATTGAGTTTCGTGAATTGCGGTAATTGCAAAAATCCGGGACCCCCAAATATTGCAATTATTGCAGTTCTTGCAATTCCAACAATTGCAACAATTGCAATACTTGCAATTACCCGCCGACATTATTCGGCGTGTCGGATACTTACTAGAGGATAGAGGATAACCCCCCCTCCTTACCCCCCCCCCCCTTTTAACGGGGTCCCCCACCTACCGCACGGCAATCTGATGACGTTCCACTAAACGTAGTCTTCGGGGAGCCGGTGTCGCAAAACAGGGGTCCCAGGCTCGATTCCCCCTGCCAGCTCTTTTGCTGAAAACGCTGGAAAAACCGCGTTTTTTTGCGGGAAATACTGGGGTGCAAAGGGGAAATGCAAGGAAGTGCAAGGAAATGAGGGGAGGAAATAGGAAGTCGACATGACAGGAAAGCAACGGGAAATGAAAGGGACACAAGGGGAACTGAAAGGGACATGAAAGGGACAGAAGTGAAAACAAGGGGAGTGCAGGGGGAATGAAAGGGAAACAAAGCACAAGGAAACCAATGGGCACAACGGGAGATGTAGGGAAATGACTCGCAACGCAAGAACGGGACACACATGGAAAATGAAGCGGACATACCGAGAAAATGTCAGGGACATGAAGGGGGAGTTGAAAGGAATGGAAGGGACATGACCGGGACATCATGAGAAACGTGAAAAGGACATGAAAGGGAATTCAAGAAGAAAGCCGGTTGTGAGATGACAGTTCAGGGTCATGAAGGGGCAGTGCCCGGACATCGAGGCAACTCAGGGGGGACGTGACGCTGCGATGCAGAGAGACAGAGACAGAGACAGAGACAGAGACGGAGACGGAGACAGACAGAGAGACAGAGAGACAGAGAGACAGAGATGTCAAATATCATGTTGCACCACTTGTCACTTGTGCATGCGTGATGTACACTACCCGACTGCAGGCCTTGAGTCTACCAGGAAAAGAGTGCATGCTGGCTAACTACATTTGTGTTTGTGACAACAGAAACAACACTTGCACTTGCAGTAAAGTACCAACGTATTTTAACGTGCTAGCGGAGCTGAGATCCTAAACATAGGGGAGCTCCAGTAACAGCAGTAAGTACTACAACTGCACAGGCAACCACATGCCCAACTACTACGACATGTCAGGAGAACCAGCAGCAGCATCAGCACAACCAGCTACAGGAGCAGACAACGGGCCCACAGCAGAGGAGACAATAGGAGCCAGAACAGGAGCAGGAAGACGTCCAAAAGCTACACAAATACAAACTGCCACCACCGTTCTTCACTGGTGACTACTCACAGTACGAAGAGTGGCTGTTCAAACTACAAGCATACCTCGGACTCATCGACCGAGACTTCGACATGGTGCTACAACTAGCACAAGCAGCTACAAGACAAATTGAAGATGCAGACATCAGAGCCCACATACGCGACCCTACACAGGCAGTAAAAGCAGTAGACCTCTCACGAGATCTACACTACATCCTCATCAACATCTGCCAAGGTGCAGCAGCTACAGTGGTCAGACAAAACCGCTACAATGCCAATGGATGTGAAACACTACGGCTTTTGCACAACAGGTTCAGCCTACCAGTAGGAACACGCAGTGTTGGCTACCTCACCAAACTACTGGAACCTACATTCAATGAAGCACAATTTGAAGAACAATTCCTACAGTGGGGGTATGACATCAACCGCTACGAGAAAGACAACGGCACAGCACTACCAGATGGAGTGAAGATTGCAATACTACTCAACAAGACTAAAGGAGCACTTCAACAACATCTCCAACTACGCGCTGGACAGATCACGAACTACAACGAGATCAGAGTTGTGATCCTGGACTACTACAAAACCATATCTGCATTCTCAAGAGCGAGCTCAGCAGTTGGCACAAACTACAATGGTGGAACAGCACCAATGGACGTGGACAACATTTGGAGAAAAGGAAGAAACTACAAAGGCAAAGGCAAATACGGAGGCAAAGGACACTACAAAGGAAACAAAGGAAAAGGGAAGTACAGAAGCAAAGGCCACTACAAAGGATTCGACAAAGGCAGCAAAGGAAACTACAACAAAGGAGGATACAACAAGAGCAGAGGAAAAGGCTACTCAGGATCCAAAGGATATGGATCAAGCAAAGGCTACAAAGGCCAAGGAAACTACAGCAAATCAAAAGGGAAAGGAAACAACAACTACACAACATGCCATCGATGTGGCAAGCCCGGCCACTGGGCACAAGACTGCAGAGTGCCAGCATGGCACATAGGAGAAGGAGAAGAACTACATCCAATAGAAAATGAACAAGCAGATCATGACAACAATGAAGAACTACCTCAGGATGTGAACGACACCTGGGACTGGTACTACGAAGGAGAAGAAGGACAACACGAGGTGAACTACATGGAGGAGAACTGGAACGACTACGACTATGACAACAGCTGGGATTGGAATGACAACAGCTATGAGGACACAGCAAACTACATTGGAGGCATCAACGAGTCACACCTCACCATTGGACACATCAGACAAGCAAACTCACGACTACACAAGCACAAATCCAAATCACTACTTGGCAAGAGAACAACACACACAACATCATGGAACGACCACAGCAAGAGCTTTCAACAATTCCTACAAGAAGACAACACACAGCCACACTTTGACATAGCAGCAGCAAGACAACCACAAAGGAAGAAGAAGATTGAGGACACTATCACACACTACATCATGTATTCCAACTTCAAGTCATACCACCACCTGTTGATCGACTCAGGAGCATCTACACATGTTTGCCCGAAGGACTACGCACCAGACCTACCACTACGACCTTGTGGAGAATCGGTTCCACAACTCTACACGGTTACAAACAAGAAGATTCCTGTCTACGGCATCA